CAATCTGCCTCTGTTTATGTGGCATGTCTACATTAAAAAGCCAGAACCATGGATGAAGTTGGCCATATTTGCTTTAGAATGAATTATTTACCACATTTTTGCTCATTCTTCTCTTTTTAATGCATCTAAAGCAAATGTTTTGATATCCGTGCTGGACTTCTGATATCTTAAACATATATTTACACTATTTTATTTGATCTTTTATTGAACATTTGACCGTAACCTTTAATGTTTGTTTAACTATCTTTATTTAATTTTTTGGAGGATGGGATAAATGAAGTAGATTCTTGAGATTCTGATGAGTACTTTGATGATCTGATTTAAGGATTATATTTGGATATAAATAGCAACTAAAACCAAAAGTACAGAAAATATATATTTTGCCATACATCACTAACATTTATACTTTTATTTTTTTGTCATAACAAATTCCTTTTTCATATTTGCTACATGGTTCGTTCTTTTATTTTGAAAGTGTGCACCAGAACTCTTACCTTGATCTCCCTGACTTCACACTTCAGTTGCTAGGGTGCAACAACAACCATAGCAACCGAACACCTGAGAGTTTAAAATGTAGGTTTTTGTGACTTTAATCGAAGAGTTGGTATTTTAAAGATGCCGGTTGTATTACCTTGACATGAAAATGCAATCTACAAAAGTTATCAAGTCAAAACAAGTGGAGGCGACGAGTAAAAAAAACAGAGAAGAGCAAAGCGGTTAACGGAACTACAAGTGAACCAATAGTGCCCTCCGTGCGTAAAAGCCGCGCGTCGAGCTGCCAAAGGTGCCCGCAGAGGGAAAAGGGTGAGGGGGGCACCGTGGTGAGGGGACCTGCCCGCAAACCGAGCTGTGAGAGGAGCGGCAGATCCAGCTCCACCGCCCCCAGAACAGCAACAAAGTGGCCCAGAACTGACCCGGATTACCGGAGGAGGGGCAGCTCTGTTGACCCAAAATGCCGGGTGATCGAGCAGCAGGGGGTCAGAGCCGAGAGCAAACATGTCAGTCACAGGTGAGCAGATGAAAAAGACGTATTCAAATCCAAAACTCTGAAAATACCATGTGACATGTTTGCTTTGGAAATTTGAATGCATAATGAAAAGACACATTTATTTTGTATTGGAAGCATCCCTTCAAAAAAATCTGGACATAATGGGGGACTGCTTCAATTATTCATTGCACCAGTAATTATCTTTCAATCAGCTCATTGATAAATTGAGTAAACTGCTCTTGAATATATTGTAGGACAGAATAATTTACTACAAATCTTATTTTCTAAACTCTTTTTCAGAAGAAACAACATTTTGGAGGGTCCTGACCTCCAGTGATTTTGAGTGACTGCCAGTTAAATAAATAAAAAGGACTAGAACTTAGCTTTGTGATGCAAAAAACATATAAACATAATTATTGTAGTTTCAATTAGGAATTTTATTAATTAAAGACTTATTTCCAAACAATGTATCTCAAAAATAACTACCTATTTTGACATGCTAATTACTTAGATTGAAAACTTGCTTTTACATCAACAGCCACGTTTTTATTTTATATTTTAGTATAGATTCAGAAATGGGCTTCACATTATAGAATTCAGTATTTAGCAACGAAGAAAAAAGAGAACGGTCAGAAAATCTAGGCATAAGTATTATTTCTCTTTCTGATCTGTTTCAGTTTCAGTAACAAAGCTTTCACGGTCATCCCCCCGAACCCCAATAAGAGAAGAGAGATCCAGAGAAGTGAGTCTTTATGTTTAGGCGCTAAATCAGATTTATAAACTCTGTTTTATTGTCAGGTAAATATTAACGTGTGCTGTGATTGGTTGATCAGAGGCAGAGGCGGAGCTCGCCGCTTTGGAGGAGCTGAGGCTGAGCAGAGCAATGGCGTTTGTCTCCATCAGCCCCAGCACTGTGGGTGAGAGAAACTGATACATCTTATAATTAATAGGATTCATATGTTTATTTTTAGACTTTAATATTAATGTACAGGTGTGTGGAGAGTGGAAGAAGTAGCAATACCATGATCTGAAAAAGACAGCATGCAAGTAAATAAGTCCTACATTAAAGTGTTCTTAAGTACAGATCAGCAAAATGTACGAATAGTAATAGTATACTCATTATGCAGATTAAAGTAAAACAAAAGTAAAAGTTCAAAAGTCCCAATTAAGAATCATACATTTTACAATATTATGATCTTTGATGCATTCATGTGTTCAGGTGGCTGTATGAGTCTGGAGGAAGTACGCTTGAAGCAGCAGCAGGAAATGATGCAAGCCAAGAGGAAGCACAAGTCGGTCAGATATTCTATAACTATTTACATTATTTAATTTGTTTTGGTATTATGTATTAATAACACTCTAAAACACTCATTATTAACATACATTTTTAAACAATGCTACAATGACAAGAAAGATTCACATAAATTATGTAATGATTACATCTTTAACTTTTTTCATGCTTTTAAAACAAGGTTAGCAAACTTTAAACACATCAAATGTACTCATTAATCTGTTTTTTATTTATGTACATAAGAATATTTGTTGGTACCTTCATCTGCAGTAATATATCATATTTAGTTTGTTGATAATATTTTGTAAGAATAATCTGAATCTGTGGAGTAACTATAATGCAGTAATGTATTCATATCCCCCTCTGAAATGTAGTAGAGTAGAAGTATAAAGTAAGTAAATGTATTCAGTTACTTACATTATGTAGCAGTAGTGATATTAGTGTAATTTAGTTCACACTAATAAACCTAGATAGTTAATAATGAGTATTTGCTTTGTTGTTTTTACAGATGATGAAGCAGCGGATGGAGCAAACAACCGTCCTGAAATCCTAAGCTTAAGGTGTTGGATACAACAGATACAAATTAAACATTGAAATATAAATGTTAATTACAAAAGTATAGAATAACATCACCAATTTTTTGTACATGCATTGTACTACATATTTTGTATACAGTTGTTTAGTATGTCATGTGTTGTGTATTTTGTATATTAAAGGTATGTTATATACGAATCATACAGATGTAATAGTTTTAAAAGAAGCATAAATTTACACTTTTATTGTCTCAATTTACCCCATGACTATATCTTATTTTGCATTTTTCACAGCATGGCCATACACATTTGTTTGTTATTAATCATAAAGTAGTTATTGTATTTAATGATATAATAAATGCATTGTTCTGAAATGAACCATTCCACAAACTTAGTACTTAAATAAGCATTCTAAGTACTATTGCTATTGGTATTTATCAACTGTGTGCGTGCGTGTGTGTGTCATCCTTTTATTAACCAGCAGAGGGTGTTTGCTTCCTGTTTCAGAGGCAGTGAGGGGGTTTACACATGCAGTATAATACTGAATATTTTATCAAAAATATAACTGACTTTAGTTTTTTTGTAACATATTGTTCCCTAAAGGAATAAGCTATTGTACAGGGATTATCCATACTATAATCACAATAGGCTTCAACATGTCATAGCAGTTAGATAAAGTCACTAAATCTCTTTGTTTTTATTGGGATGATGTTACATTTGCAAAATTTGCAATAACACATACTCATGCACAGATTAAAAAACATGGCACTAAATGTCACCATCGTGCGTTTGTCTCATGCATACATAATTAAAATGTCATATTAAGTGACCGAAACATTCAGTGAGCATGCGCAGGAGATATTGCAATATTTGTAGTTGAAGCAGCTGTAATTGTTTTGTGCAGCCAATGATTGTAGTCCAAGACAGACGCCATTCTGTGACGCTGGTGTTGCGTTCAGGGAGCACTTATAAACTCCAACTTTTTATTCGAGCGTCTTGTGAAAATATGAACACAAGTATGTATATTATAATTTCAACAGTAGCTCCCGTTGCAACATTTTATTTTATAAGTTATTGGCAACTAAATATTTATAATTATTAACCTGAAGCCATAAAATGTTTTTTTTAAAAGCACATTTTAAACGCAGCAGAAGGTATTATACAATTATTTGTTGTGTATATTATACGAAAAAAATGGTGGATCTTCAGGGAAAGACATACGCCTAATTAAAAGTACACATTTGTGACACTTTATTTAGGATTTTAAAAACATATCAGGTTCGGATTAATATCTTTATTTGTATTCATACACATAAAATAATATATTTAATTTGTTTGTGAATCAGAGCTAAATCTGGATTTGGGTTATTGACAAGAAAGTTTTCACATGCCACGATTTGTCCTGGTATTGTGGTGCATTATAACAAACCCAAATGAAATAAAAAAACTAGAAAAAACTGCCTTAATTGTTGATTCCTTTTTTAATAATACATTATAATAATAATACACAGCAACATTCAAAACTAGCTTTATATTTAGGTCTTCTACATTAAAAATAGAAATACTCTTACTCTATCAAACATAAAACACAAGGCATTTTCTATTTGTTAGTTTTAATATCTCAATATTTTTTTAATTGTGATACAACATATACGTTTACCATGAAGTACTTATTATATATTGTTTAATAATTATTGCACATTTTTATCTCAAAATTATTTGAAGCTGTAATGAAGCTTGAAACAAATAGAGTATTCTTTTTAAAACCACTGCTCCCATTATATACTATCATTCTACATTGTAGACATGTATACATTCACACACTTTTTTATTTGCACTTTTTTTGTGGTTTTACATTTTACTTGTATACATTTATATATCTATATATATATATTGTATTGTTGGTTATTGCTGCTTTTCATTTTTCTATTAGTATGATTATTTAGCAAATAGAGTTAATTCTGCAGAATGAGTACTTTTACTTTTGAGATTTTAAGATGATGCTAGTACTTGTGTGCTTTGACTATATATTATTTATGCAGCATTTACACACACACACAGTATTTCTACACTGTGTTTTTTCTACAGAATACTTATTCCACGGATCTGTAAAACATTTTAATTAACCCTGTTTATAACTGCACTTTTTAGTGTAACGGCCATGTTTCCGACTGTACGTGAATGCAGCATGATTCGGTGGCTGCTGAGCTGATCTTTGTGCGAACGAAGCAGAGCGGTCGCAGATAGCAACTGGCAGCAAACACATCCAGAGACGGCGGAGGAGACAGCTTTTATCCCCGAAAAAACACACCTACAACGACAATACAGTGACAGCCTTAAAATGGTAAGAAGCCTCTTCAGGGTTGTAAACGTAAGCCGGTGGCGCTATTTTTGAATGACAATCAATTTAGCCAGGAGCTAGCTGGCTAATGCTAACTGTTAGCGAACTGTTTTCCTGACTCATTATTGAGCAGCCCGTGAAGCTAGGCTGCCATTTTACACCAACAACACAGGCAGATGGTCTTTCCTGACTACTGCGGTTTGCTCGGTAAAGGCCGAATGTATCTTAACTAAAGCCCCAACACTACACATGTGTCTAAACGAATCAAAAATGTGGTTAAAATTGAGATTGTATTTTAATTTAAAGCAGCACCAGGCAACCAAGCTAACGTCACCTACAAGCTAACTGGCTAATCGAGCCTGAGAAGCTAATGATAGTTAGCAGTATTGCGTAGCAATGTTTGTCTCCATTCGCAGCTCAGCGTTGGATAATCTCAACACACATTTAGGGAAGCAGTCGGTGTAAACCTTTATTGTTTTTTAATAGATGGTTACACAGTCATAATTTAGCTAAAGCTGCTACATTTCGTGATTTAAAGCGAGCAGATCGGCCCTCTTGAGGGAAGGGTAGTGATTTTGAACATGACACTGGGCTCACACACTCCTCGACTACCTGGAAAATACCTGGTCTGTGCCACTTCTAGGCCTGGAGATGTGAGGTTAATAAGAAGGGGAGAAAAGACACGTTTTTGATAAGACGCTGCATGATCAGGACCCCACTGCTGGTAAATACATGTTGGTTTCTGGCCATCTCTTTCTCTCTCATGTATAAAGGAGATAAAACACACATTTGGCAAACCTGGTTGTTAAATCTCTGTTCACATCAGTTACTTTTTTGTTTGGGAAGTTTGTAAATACTTAACATTGTCATGGGAAGTCTACCATGAGTGAATCAAGTAATGTATGTCTTTTGTTGTTTTATAAGCCAGTTTTCAAGAATATTTTCCGTTTGACAGAGATGGAGTATTTCATACACTAGTACTGCAAGAAAGTTCATAAATAAATATCTAATATATTCACACCAACATTGGCTAATATAAATGCTTTTATGGAAGATATACGGCCACACTTTAAGGAACACCTGAAAGAGCCATGTTTATTAAAATAGTTATTTCTACGTCTGGAGATGTTAGAAAACAACCCTTGGATTTTGGTTTCTCTTCAATATTATAAGACTCTTGGGTTACTTATTGGCTATTTTCTTTATAGTTGGGAGTATTTCCCCCAATTTTAAGGACAAAGCAAACACTCAGTTACCATGTGTTTGTTAACAATGTGTTGGAGCCTTACTGTTTATCTTTGATTGTTTATGCATTTGTAGAGCTTTTAAAAACCTAAAGCTGGTCAATAATGTATTCTACACTTGTCCAGATGGTATAAGACATTTACATTTGCCATGTTCTTTTGAGTTGTATGAAGTTAAAATCAGATTTTCCAGTAGTGTTGATATAAAGATATACATTTATAGAATAGGCTTAGTACAGACAAAGTCAGACTCAGAAATGCCTAGTTAGGTTAGAGTATTAAAAGAAACATACTAATTGTATTATGTTTCAATGTGACTGTTATGAAAATGATTCTAGACCCTTGTGATATTGCCTACTCAAGCTGATGTAGCCTAATATTGATGTTGATAGAGCCACCCATTTCTAGAGTTATACTGGACATTTAAAGAAAACATTACATATTTGTCTCACTTGTCTTAACTGAAAGTGAACCTTCAGTGTGGAATTTGAAGTTATTTGAATATTTTGTATTGGGTCAAAACATGAATCTTATTGATATTGTTACATGGGAAAAATCCAGCTTGGTACGTGTTTTATATTGAGCGATGAGGCTTAATTGTACATGTGTGGACACGTCTTCTCCCCTCAGAATCCACTGTTTGAGTGGGAGGATCTGTGTGTGTTTTTACAGCCCATAGGGTGGGTGTTTGTTGGTATTTACAGTAATGAAGACATCAGTGATCATGTTGCATATATACCTTGAAAAACAGCTGCAAACTTGTCTATTCTTGCAGACATGGATATTCATAGGCTTTTGCACATCTGCTCTATCATATCTTGTGAAATATTTCCCTTTTTAAGAAGAGGCGTGAATATTCAGTCAATCTTTTATAGCATATAATAACTCAAAATACAGAATGCAATGCTAGTTGTTTTTGTTCTGGAAAGTGTAATTAATGTTGGTGCATATAAAGATTTATTATCTTGCAACTTTGAGAAGATTGGTGCATTTTCATATTTAATGTGGTGGAGAAATATACTTTACCTTGAGATGTATTCTACAAAGAGCACATGTTGCAACCATTCAGCCTTTTGCAAGAGCTCACTCGACACATATCAAGTTTAGTAGTCGGATCCTTTCTTTGATGAACATTATGTTCAGTATTTCAGTATGACTGAAAAGGTTCTGCAATAGTGTTGAAATGGCTGGAGCTCTTTCTGAGCAGGACTATTCACTTGTTTATATAGAGATCAAAACATGAGGCTTTGCTCCTGAATTGTGAGATCTTCTGCTTCTTTCTGAATTTATAGTGATGATGAAATGAAGATTCAAGGAACTTTCACTGATATTTTAAAGACCAAACCATTAGCCGATCTATAGTTGCAGCCCTAATTATGTTGACTTGGCTTGCTCCATTCTAAAAACAAAAATATGTTCAAATGAATATGATTTTTGACAAGCTGGAACTCAAGATTCACATTTCTTGAGAAATAAATCAAACTAAAAGAAACAGAATAGTTGGAAATATTTTTTCCAACATTGTTCAGTGCTAACCCTTAATTGTTTTCCTAATTTAGATACATCTTTTGAAGTATAAAGGAGAAAAATAAGTGTTGCTTCTCCTGCAGTACAATCAGTCTGCTTCTGAAGATTGAATGTCCTTTCAGCGATGATAAAGCCACTTCTTTTACCTGGCCTGACCCCCCCACCCTGTCCTCTGTGAAGTGACAGCGCTGAGGGCACTGATTGTAAAGTCAATCTAAAAAGCTGCTTATATTAAAGAAATGTCCTCTCGTGTTGCATCACCCGGCTCATGATCGGTTTGCTCACACTCTCTCACACCTGACCTTACAAGCTAAAGAAGGGCTCCTCGCTGTGATTGTTACACTTGGACGTTTTTAGTTTGGCTCACCCAGATTTAAAGAAAGGAGATTTAGCTTTGTTATTGTTTGTGTTTTTAAATGTAGGGTATGAAGTTGTTGAGTCTGCTCTCTCTCTCTCTCTCTCTCTCTCTCGCTCTCTCTCTCTCTCTCTCTCTCTCTCTCTCTCTCTCTCTCTCTCTCTCTCTCTCTTCTTCTCTCTCTCTCTCTCTCTCTCTCTCCATCGAGAGTAATTTTTACTGGTTATTTGTTTTTGGTGGTGTGTAATCAGTTGCAGTTTAATGTGCTTTCGCCTTCATACAATGTAAGATATGCAGGCATTTTGACAGTGAAAGTGGTGTCCTCAGGGTGTGTGAGTCACACTTTTTAATGAACTTAATATTTAGTTTAATATCTTGTGGGAGCAGCTTGTTGCCACTATGGAAATGCCAATAGCAGGTCCACCTTAAGTGAGCCTTAGCAATTGATGATGGCAAGTATCGTTAGTTGCAGCCTTCATTTTTCTGTATAAGTTCAAGTTGATTCATTCATATGGCTTGCTCTATCCGACCAACCGTCTTAAAGCACAAAAATGTAATATAGTATATATGACAAGAAAAAGCATTACGTCAGAGTATGTAATGTGTAGAAACAGAATAGTTTTGAATTTGCCTAAATTGTTTCAGCTCTGACTCTTAATCGTTGTAGACTGACAGAGAACATAGATGTTTTATTGCTTCTCCTGGCCAAGTGACTCTGTCATACAAACAGACCATCTAGTCTGTCAACAACACTTGTTGACAGATGCGTACAGGCCATTTGTTCCCTAAAGAGAACATGTTCCCCAACTATGACACAGGGATTCCTGTTTCACAACAAACTTTCTAGCAACTGTTGTCACTCACAAGCTGTACTCGATGGCTGATTACAGGTCAGATCCTGAAGCAGGACATGTATATAATACCTTCTGCTGTGGGAATCTGAAATCGGATCCAAGTGCTGCTGTGAAGGGCACCTTTCCTCTGTGAATACGGCGCACAGAAAAACCAGCGCTCCACCCCTGTAGCAGTACGAGGTATACGAACTCGGTATTGTCTGCCCTAGTTACCATAGCAACTGCCAGAGCGCCTCAGGTAGATGGGGTTGCCTTTTTCTGAGTTTGGTGAGGATCTGATGAAGGAGGCTGAAACAAATTGGAAGTCCGGGCCCTGCATCTGTCACCATCCAAGTCGAGATGCACCAATTGCAATTGATGATGACCGGTTTTTCCTAAATTGGATTCTGCTGATTCTGATTTCGGCTTATTACGAGTTGTCTAATGAATTGGCGTATAACAATGTAATGTCCTCGGCATTACATTGTTATATGTGCTGGAGACCGAGGCTGGGCGTGGAGAGGAGGACAGATTTAGGTGACTGATGAAGGCCCCATGATGTGCCTGGAGCTTACTGCTGTGTCACGGCTTTGCCTCGGCCTCACTGCCTCCCTTCATCATCCTGCCCATAGTGTACAGAACATGAACTGCAGAATGTGAATGAAAATATTTGACTGGGTAAACAGAAAGATGAAATAGGAACATATTTGTATTGTTGAAACAAAATGTTCCCAAAAATACTAGCCAACTACGTTTATCATGCAATTCATTTAGTGCCCAACAATATCAAACGTTAACTCCCTGCATCTTTTTCAGTTATGATACTTATTTATATACTTACTTATTTATTGTTTCAGTAACATACTTAAAGTGGGGTAGGTACGTTTGAGTAACCGACTCGAGATACACTTTTTGTTATATTCCATGGAATGCTCTTAACATCCCGATAGCAATGAATATCTGAAGTGCTTTGACAAAAAATCCATAAAGAAATGTCATCTGTGGAAGCAGTAGCGCTGTAAAAAGCACGACCAGTTATTTTAGCCGGCCCGGCTAAAATAACTGGATGGCCTACCTGCCTGTCAGCCTTCCATCTGTGCACAAACTTATCTCGTGCCCTCATTGGTCATGTGTGCGTTCGTGTGTGTTGGAGGAGGGGCTCTGTAAGGAAGTGGCAGATTTGTTCCGGCTGTGTATTTTCAAATTCTAGCGCACTCGAGCTGGTTTCTCCAAAATGACCTACCCCACCTTTAACATCTTATAGTCACGTAACATCAGTTTTCATATTGAGGTTAAATAGTGAAAATAATCTGCTATGTTCTGCTTTGAATTTGGGGAAGAACACGGGTATGATAGAAAGACCAGAAATGAAGCGGTCAAGTTCTTCCTTATTTAAAATATTTCCGTTTTGAACTGTTTGTGAGACAAACAAACAACTTGAATATGTCCCTTAAGGCAGGGGTTCCCAACCTTTATTGTGCCAAGGACCGGCAGATCCATTAAAAAGAAAGTCGCGGACCGCTTGTCAATTTTAACTGATTTTAATATTTACTCACCACCAGCAGGTAGCAACAGAGGCTAATTGTATGTAACATCCTGAACAAATACTAGAACACTATGCATCCAAAACATATTAACAACGTTTAAAAAAGAAAAAAGTGTCGTTTTTCGGAAAAACGGAAAACCAAAAAACCGACGTTATTCAAACGGGAAAACAGATAAATCAACGTTTTGGTTTTGTTTACGATTTACGGATAATCCAGAGAATGCTGGGAAAACGAGGAGAAGGTGCATTATGAAGGAGATGTCCGGTCGCCAGGGTGTGTGTGTGTGTGTGTGTGTGTGTGTCTGTGTGACTGGCATTTGTTTTCAGAAGGTATTATGATAGTGACGTTCGTTCCGGTGCACGTCCAACAGCATTTAGCACTACATCGAGATTAAGATTAAACTAATTTATTTTGGGAACACCCGCATATAGGCTACCTATGGAGTTAGCCAGATGTGTGTAAATTACTGTTCATGGTCATTTGAAAACAAATGCCGGTGTCGGACAGACACAAACACACCGAACACACAGAGCTGAGCAGAGCACATACATACACACATCATGCGCCTTGGTGACCGGACATCTCCTTCATAAAACTAATAAAAGGGGGAGTAATCGGGCAGTTTGATGTGTGTAGAGGTGTGTGTGGTTAACACGTAGCAGTCTGCAGTCACTCTTAAACTGTTCTGATGAAGGTAAACACAGCGAAGGCGGTGCGTAAAAAGGCACCGCTCTCGGCGCGCTGGTGCTGCACTTCTCAGAGGTGGAGTATACGTCCCGCTGCCTCCTGGTGCTGCAGCCATTTCATGAAGTGAAGGAGGTGTTCCTTCTATAAAACAGCTGCGGCAGCAGATACCGCGAGAGTCCCGGGCACGAATTCATAGATCAAGGCAGACTGGTTTACAGACTCTCCTGTTTTGCCAATCCGGTGCTTAAACAAATAGCTCTACACCCCTGGCCGACATGTCCTTAAAATGAAGTCTGAGTTTGAAATATATCTCAAATAATGTATGCACTGCTATTTCCCCACATAAACATAACAGTCTGCAATTAAACGGTTGTCTCCTGTGCGCTCCTCTTCCTACTTGGCGCACCAGTAACTTTCTCGTGCGCACAAGAGGCTGAGACCTTATAGGCTGAGCCGCCGAATCCCTCGGAACATCATAAAAGCCATTTTCCACGGTTTTCTGGTGAAAGATGAACCAGGCTACTGGATGAAATAACATGACTGGTATAGCTGCAAAAATTAAACATTTTTTGAAAAAAATATTATGATAAAAATATTTTTATATATTTATAATTCTGCAAATATTACGATAAACTCACAGCTATTTCGCGGCCCGGCAGTAACACCTCCGCGTACCGGTCCCCGGACCGGGGGTTGGGAACCCCTGCCTTAAGGCTTCAGGACATTTTGATAGTCCTTTGTTTCCATGTTATGGTCCATAAGAGATTGTTATTGAAAAGGCAGCCCTATTAAAATAATATTATTACATATTCTGTTAAGTGATGTAACTAATATAAATAAATATTATATATATATTCATCACAAACCCAGATTTGCTGACTCACTTAAGACCCTAACTTCAGTGTTTTGTCTTCCCACGTCCTTATAAGCAGCTGCAGATTTATAGCTGCTGTCACTGAAGCTGCTCAGACGTCATGAGTTCACTCGGTGTCCGGCGTCAACAGGGACAGGAAGTAAACAGAGCCGGTCACTCAGCTTCCTCCCTGCCACTGACAGGTTTCTGCACTTGTCACGTCCTGAGTCTCTGGCTGGCCCTAATAGCTGAGAACGTCCGGAGACGGGCAGCGCTGCATGCCTGCTCTCTCTAAATATCTAAATATAGCAGTGCTGCCTACATGCACGCAGCCCTTTCTACACATGCGCACTCCCTTTGGTCGCTGATTCTGTTAGGCACTGTTGTAGAGAAACCTATTTTTTTTAAACAACTTTTTTTATGCCTCCAGTAGCGGAACATGCCATGTCATAACTCATATCAATAGTTTTATCAGTAATCTATCTTTCTGGTTTATGTTTATTTTGCAGAGCTATCAAAACAATCAGCTTCCTCAAATGAAAGGCACCAGATGTCATTGTTATCATGCAGTTGAAATAAGGCTGAAACTAATCATCATTTCCTTTGTGGTAATACAATGATTTTAATTAGATGAATCGCAACTGTGACAAATGCTGATAGCTGGTTTTCTCTAACCAAAGTACAATACCCACTGACATTCAGTTTGGAATACAAATAAAACCTAAACTCAAATTGGTTTGTCTCCGCTTTAGTTACAACTACAATAGTCCAGAATACTGTATGCACAACTAATTTGATCAGATAGTCAAGCCAGATGTCCAGCCGGTATTTTCTATCTTTCTCCTGTTGTCACTTTCTGTGTGGCTTGAAATACGTCTTTGCCGCGAACTCTGGGGTTCATTTACCATCTCCTCTTGTCCTGGCTGTCGGGATGAAATTACAGCTTCAGGTCTGACAATTAGCCTTAATGATGCTGCCTCCTTGGACTTTCATTAGTGCCACTGTTAAACCAGCTGCTGCTACTCTTGTGATAGTGATGCAGGCATGGCCTAATATTCATTATGAGTAGGGGTAAAAGTTGATCCACAAATGCAAAAGATCTATTCTTGTACGTCAAGTTCTGAAAGAGGCTTTTGGACTAATGCTTAAACATTATTGGCTTCTCGTGTCCAATAAGGAACCTTGTAGATGAGGGTGTCTTGGCACTGGAGTGGACTGGTGGAGGAAATGAGAAGTGGACTAATCCGTTATTAGCTGAGTTACGTCAGGGTCTGGTCAGAACCGTGTGTGAAGGGATCAGCGCCAGGTGTCAGCAGATGACCTTTCAACTAACCTGTAACAGTACTGAGGGAACTGAGGATTCTTAAAAGATGGTTGCTTCTGGGATTTGAAATGAATCCTTATAGTTGCCAGCCTTCTTATCCTTTTTTATTTAGCCTCTTTACTGGCAATGAGTCAGCATTTCTTCCTGTCCCTCGCCTGGAAGTCAATGGTTTTTTGAACGGGTTTTTGGTTACAAGCCAGGAAAGAGGAAAAAGACAGACTGGAGGGATTTTAAGTTTCAAGAAATACCTCAGTAAATACCACACTGACGAGTTTAGAAATGGCGGTTGTGAACAAATGTCTGAATTAACATTAACCGCCTTCAGCTTAGCAGTGGTGACGTGAAGTCTTTCGACCGTCTGTAGAGTGCTTTTATGTGTAGATTATCAGGCTGAACAAAAAGTATCATAAAGGTGTGTTAGCAACAGATCTTATTTTCTGCAATAATCCAATAAAGAAAAGTCCCTTGGCTTTTTGTGAAGGAAACCAGGGAGATGCTACCTTCTGCTTCAGTTTACAAAAATACGTCATCACTGCACCACTCTATAACACATCATAATCTCCTTTTTGTTCTTTGCTTCAGGTCATCTGGTGAGGATTGCCCAAGCTTTTAGGTGGAGGAGTGGCAGACAGTGCCACCCAGACGTGCAGAGTGGGACTGCATCCCGCCCCACAAAACGTCATCCAGCTTCCCGAAGCGCTGCCGCCCGATGGACCGCGCACTCTGAGAGCAGAGCGAGAGCCAGGACAGACACCAAGCAAGGAGCGGAGCGGGGGGAGAGGACAGGGAGGGCATTGTTCGCTAAGGAGAGCACACGGGCTCCACGATGTCGTCGAACAGGACCCAAAACCCCCACGGACTGAAACAGATAGGCCTGGACCAGATATGGGACGACCTGCGGGCGGGCATCCAGCAGGTTTACACACGGCAAAGCATGGCCAAGTCGCGCTACATGGAACTCTACACGTATCCTGCTGTGAGGATTATAGATTTCAATGTTGGATGATGGTAAATCCATCAAGTGCTCAAAGGAAAATAAATAAATTAGGGCTTGTAATTGGAAATGATGACCATGATTCAGGGTTACAATAAGGTGATGTATTGCGATTTTGAGGGAAACTGTCACACTATAATGATCATATGCATAAAAGTACATGAAAAGAATTGCGATCCAACATCTAACAACTCGGTTATAAATGATTATGAATACTGTTGATTAAAAATCAATACACTGTTTATAGTATCCCTAAAACATAATATCCCGTTACTAAAGGTTATCGAAATGTTCTTACACACATTCAATTAATTAGCGGCATTTTCGAAGCAATATTTTAACTTTCGGATATTATTTTTTTTGACTTCAGAAAAAAGCAAGGATTTGAAAATATATATTTCAGCTGAAAACTGTTTTATACATTTTTTTGTCAAACTGATTGAGAAAAATTAACTGAACCGCATATATGTCTAATCTTTAATTACAAATAGAATAGGGAGGGATGAAACCCTCTTTAATGGTCACACATGCAGAATACACAGTGAAATGTGTTCTCTGCATTTAACCCATCCTAGTACCAGGACTCTAGTACTATTAGAGCAGTGGACAGCTATTGTACAGCGCCCGGGGCAGGAGGTGAACTGGGACCTCTCCAAGTAGCAGTCCACACTCCATATTTAGTAGGGGTGCACCGAATGGGAAATTCTTGGCCGAAACCGATACCGAAAATAGGAAACAGTTGGCCGAAAGCCGAATGCCGAAAGGCCGAAAATGATTAATATATATATATATATATATATATATATATATATATATATAATGTATACATTTTTTTTACCAATGATTATGGAAATAGACATGATTATGGCAAAACTTAACTTAAATAATAATCACTATTATGGGTCCATAAAACATTTATTCAGCACTTTTGAATGCATACAGTACATTTATATATGTCATGTATTATTGCTAAAAAACATGATATCGCAGTCTTAGTGTCGCCAACTCGTTTCTAATATGCAAAGACAACAAATGCGTCTATGATGTATTTTCGATCAGACGATATCTCTCTCCCGTCTATGTGCGAGGGGGCGGGGCAGTTTACACACACGCAGCTGCTACATGCAGCGGAGCACACTGCGGAGATGGCGGAGAGAACGCGCTCCGAGGTGTGGTTAAACTTTACCCGTCTCGATGTGGAGAATACTTGTTACCATAAGTGCAATAAGAGTTTAGCATGTAAGCACGAGCAATTTGTCTAAACATTTAGCAAAAGTGCACCGCATGCAGACGGAGGAATGGTCGCCGCGTCTTTATTACGTCATCACAACAACACGTTAGGTTACCAACGTAAGCCTGTTCTGACATTCGGTGATATTTTTTCGGCTGAAAGGGCCTTTTTAACCATTTTCGGCCGATAATTTTCGGTGGCCGAATATTCGGTGCATCCCTAATATTTAGGTCTGGTCGGGGACTTGAACCGGCGACCCTACGACTCACAGTCCAAGCCCCTACTGACTGAGCCACTGAATCATACATATCCTTAGTGATGACCATACTTACTCACTCGTTTATTTCCCTCGTAGTTTGAGCGTCCAACAGTGACACAAACATTCACCAGTTTTGTTCAGTATCCACCCTGGCTGTGTGGCAAAGTGTATTTCATGGCAATGGCTTTCTCCCTTCTTCCTTCTAAAACTAAAACCTGCCCTAGTAATGAGTTTCTAAAAAAGAACCCCTCAGTCCTGAAAACAAGAAACAATACTTTGATTCATAATATCTACTTAATAACTGTTCACAAATTGTTGGTCAAAGGAAGTATTTATTCTAAATGTATTTGTTGGTATTTTCGAAAGGTGTGCACACTGTTCAAGTATTTCTGTAACGTACACAAAGAGAAGACACATTTTGTTGTATGACAAACTGCTCTTCTTGTTACGCACAGTTCCAGAACAGCAGGATGGGATCATTTCCCTGAAGTATGAAATGCACACATCTATCAAATAAATATAGATAAGTGTAATAATCTGTAATCGCTCCTATCAAGCAGAAGTAATGGGAATGATTTAAACTTTATACGAACTACAATCTTCGAATGACATATTTAACTTTTCAAAGCTTTTTGGCCCATGTCTACATCACTGGTTAGCAATGACCGCAACCTTTGTTATAATATTAGAGTGAAGCAATCGTCTTTTATGAGGTAGAGAATGCATACACATTTTTTCCAGCTACCCTTTCTTTTACGTAAAGAAATAACTTGACATGCTGATTTGTTTGATTTGCTTCAGCTTCAAAATGCGTTTGTACAGCAGGTTATTTACCTTCCACTAGTTCTTCGCTTTTTCAGTCGAATGAAAACGTTTCAACTCAACAGAAACAAAATAAAACAACTATTTCAGTTAGTCTTTTCATTTCCACTCCAACAATCACTAACTGTGGTTTAATCAAAACAAACTTTTAAATCATAGATTTATTTGCGAAAATGTGGCCCCTCGCTTTTTCCTGACCTGTGTGTCTCCTGGTCTATGATGTGTATATTGTTTCTGTGTTTATTCCTTAACCCCTCCCTCAGACATGTATATAACTATTGTACCAGCGTGCACCAGTCCAGCCAGGGCCGGGGCTCCGTGCCTCCAGCCAAGCCCCCTAAAAAGTCCACCACCCCGGGCGGGGCTCAGTTTGTAGGCCTGGAGCTCTACAAGCGGCTCAAAGAGTTCCTGAAGAACTATCTGACCAGCCTGCTCAAGGTCAGTCCTCTCCACTGGGATTAAAACACATCCTGTATATGTTTCACCCTCTGCATTTCACTCATTCCCCTGTTTTATTCTGCTGCAGGATGGCGAGGATCTAATGGACGAGTGTGTGTTGAAGTTTTACACCCAGCAGTGGGAGGATTACCGTTTCTCCAGTAAAGTCCTCAACGGGATCTGCGCCTACCTCAACCGTCACTGGGTCAGACGAGAGTGTGACGAGGGACGCAAGGGCATCTACGAGATCTACTCGGTGCGTCTTAATATTTCTCTGTCAGTGTTCAGCCGATGCATGTACATTTATTAAAGTAGGACACTTATGATATTTTTACTAGAGCATTCTATTTAATGTTTACTTTGCTGCCATTTGAAAGCAAACGTTTTTTTGTATGGATCACTAATTATATTCCATTGATATCATTTTAATGAATGAAGAACTCTTACTTCTTACGGAAAATCCCTACTACTACTTCAGCCTCTGTTCAGAGTAGAAGTTTAGTAAATACTCTTGGTGTGTTTTGATCCAAGCAGGTATTTCCAGCTTCTAATCTAAATTATTTAACATGCTTTTGGAAATAATAGTTTTTTATGTTTTTACAAAGCATGAACGATAGTGAAAACCACCCAAAATTGCTGTGCGTAAACTTTTTTTGGAGTATTTTTCCTGTGCAGTAACCCTTAAACCTTTCCGGTTTCCCTTCCTTGAGGACAGATGAGTAAATATTTCTGACTTGTCTATAAATGTCAAGTCATTCCTTAAGTACAGGGCTCGTAAAATACTTTATACCTTCAAGGTAAGAATTAGGTCCCAGAATTAGGGCTGCTCAATTAATCGCTATTACGATTTTGGCTTGCAAAGATTATGAAAACATTTGTTTTCAATAAATGGATGTTTTCAAAGCAAATGGATCATCTTTTTGAATAATCGTGATATCAATTATTGACCCAAATAATTGAGATTATGATTTTTGCCATAATCGAGAAACCCTAATTTGAATGTACTCTTAGGGTTTATGGGAGCATAAACTATGAAGGAGTTTATTTCTGGGTCTGATTACTGTGGATTAGTTTATGAATCTCTTGCCAATTATTCTGGACTATGTAAACATACCAAAAAGTTACTGTTTTCTGACGGGAATGGAAGATTAAAATAAGAGTCTTGTGAATGCCTCTAGGCGCTGAGGAAAGATTTCGGCAAGATTTGAACTACAAAAGGTGGTTGGACTGTAACAAACATTCAGCCTAAGTTCTTGATTTTGTTTATTTACTCTTTCTCTCTTTTCCTACACTGCTGTTCCCTCTCAGCTGGCACTTGTGACCTGGAGAGAATGTTTATTCCGACCTCTCAACAAACAGGTGTGTTATTTTTCTTTTTGTGGGCGCGGGGTGAGAAATAACACTGCAAAGAAATGCAAACAGTTAACAATATTAAGTTTTGTCTGCCTTAATTTACCTGTAAAACTCTTAATTTCATTATTTTTGCCGCAAATAATAACCATGAGTCTGTTTACAGGTAACAAACGCTGTGCTGAAGCTGATTGAGCGGGAGCGGAATGGCGAGACCATTAACACCCGGCTGATCAGCGGGGTGGTTCAATCCTACGGTAGGTCAACAACACAGAGAACAACTCGAAGAGAAACAAACAGCTGTTCTTTGCAGGCTTTAGACAACAACGGCAGCCAAATACTCTTGAGGTCCATTAGTACACTCCTCTCTGGAAATATTACAAATATTTTCTTGGTATTGGCCCTTCAAGAGATAGAGATTTATTACTAAGTTGTACTAAAGATATGATTAACGTCAAAGTCAAGCCTTACTTAACCACACTAAACCTTCACCAAAACAAATTATATTTACTCTAAACATACATAGTTTGTATGAAGTGTACAATATTTGTTGTCTCATGTCGCTGAATTTAATCAAAGTTAATATGAACAGCTGGTCAAACAAACTAAAAGTTAAAAATACATAGATTTAAGTGGGTATAAAGGATCATCTGTAAACTTTATGATAGCCAAATGTGATGATATTGGCTTCTAATGTCTGGAAACATTTGATTCAGTAACCTTTTTAGGGCTTGAATGTTAATAAGATGACTGTTAAAACTTAAATGCTAAAATCTTAAATGATTTGTATATAATGCAGTATTATCTTTTAATTCTGCTTTCTCTAGTTGTGCTCATGAATATATCTCCGTTGACAGTCATCAGTCAGTGGAGGACATTGGTATGAGTTTGATGTTAAGCCAACACTGTCTTAATGGGTCTAAAAAAACAACCTAAAAATACTTGACTTCATGTAGAATATGTGCAGGAATTAAGAAGTTATTCCAAGTAAAAATACCATGTATAGAAATTGAATAAGTTTGTTTGGCAAGCTAGTAGATCAGTCGAGGTGCAAGTATTTCGAAATGCAATAGTCTTTTATCAATAAAAACATTAAATTCTCCCTCTTGACAAATCTTAAAGTGACCATGACATTATGAGACACTGCCATTTTTTAAATTGAAAACTATTGCAGGTGTTATCTTGTGGTTCTCCTCACATTAACCCCTGCTCCTCCCCTGTGTCTCCCCCCTCCTCCCCCTGCAGTTGAGCTGGGTCTGAACGAGGAGGACGCCTTCGCCAAAGGCCCCACGCTGTCCGTGTACAAGGAGTACTTTGAGTGTCAGTTCCTCACGGACACAGAGCGTTTCTACACCCGCGAGAGCACCGAGTTCCTGCAGCAGAACCCCGTCACAGAGTACATGAAGAAGGTACACCACCTTTCACTTCCGATACACACTATTGTTATAAATATTTACACGTATTTAGCCTTTCACAGATAGAGTTGCATGTTTTGTTGCTTTTAAATCTTTGTGTAATCTGCATTTTAAACTGCTTATTTTATGGATTTTAAACTTTCTAACTAATAGAGAGCAGAAGGTCTCAATGGACGCCTCTCTGACTCGGTCATCACTTCCACAGGCTCGCCTCAAGGATGCGTTCTTTCGCCCCTACTTTTTACAATGTACACTGATAAATGCAGGAGCATGCAAGACAACAGCTACCTGGTTAAATTCTCTGCTGATACCGCCCTCTTGTCCCTCCTTAGCGGCTCAGAATCAGGCCACGGGGGTGCTCTTACTGATTTGATTTCCTGGTGTGATGACAGTTTATTGGATTTAAATGTCTCTAAAACCCAGGAACTGATAATTGATTTTAGACGTCACAAGGATGTTCCTAAGGAGTGAATCATACACAATGACAAGGTTGAAATTGTCACATCATACAAATACTTGGGCACCATTTTCGATGACCACCTCAAATTTGATGTGAATACTGAGTGTATTGTGAAGCGGGTCAACAGAGAATGCACTTTCTTCACAAACTGAACTCTTTCTCTGTCAGGCCTTTCATTCTTTGTCGTTTTTACCAAGCATTCATTGAGAGCCTTATTTGTTTTTCTTTTATCTGCTGGTTCCATAGCCTTACACTGAAAGACAGGAACAGCCTGAACAGCATTGTTAAAACCTGCTCTAAGATCATCGGCGTGAAACAGAGAGACTTAAACTCCTTCTGTAACCAACAGATTCTGCGGAAAGCAGAGAGCATTCTGAACTCTCCAGGTCATGAATTTCGTCTGTTGCCATCAGGGCGTAGATATGCTCTACCTGCTCTAAAGACTAATCGCTTAATCATTCATCCCTTCTGCACTCAAACTTTTAAATTCTTGAAAGGCTTTTAACTTGATTATTTATTTATTTATTTATTTATTAATTAATTAATTATTGTGATGCTATGAACTATTTATCGTGTAAATTGGAATGATCCACATCCAGGCTCCCGGGTGTATGTGTGTTTTCTTCCTGTATACTCCTGCCTGTATACATGACATAAGCTGCTCATAACCAATTGCCCCTTGCGGGATTAATAAATTGTTGATTGATTAATTTAAAATCTATAGTTTTTCAAGATCCACAAGCTTTGTTGTCCAATGTGTAGTTCAACATTATTAGCTTGTGGTACTTAAGAGTGTTTGTGTGTGTGTGCTCAGGCGGAGGCTCGTCTGCTGGAGGAGCAGCGGCGTGTGCAGGTGTATCTCCACGAGTCCACACAAGACGAGCTGGCCCGGAAGTGTGAGCAGGTCCTGATCGAGAAGCACCTGGAGATCTTCCACACCGAGTTCCAGAACCTGCTGGATGCCGACAAGAATGAAGGTAAACCTGCAATCTGAATTTCAATGAGTGTACATATCTAATTCTGAAATAAGAAAGAAGTTTGTATTTAAAAGGTGTTTTAAAAAAAAATCTAATTTCTCCTCTCAGACCTGGGCCGGATGTATAACCTGGTGTCCCGCATCACAGATGGCCTCGGAGAACTGAAGAAACTTCTGGAGACTCACATCCACAACCAGGGCCTGGCTGCCATCGAGAAGTGTGGAGAGGCCGCGCTCAACGTACGTAATATAATAGAGAACAGAGAAGAGCAGGACAACTCCAAATTTGAGAGGCTGAAAACGTCAATTTCGCATGAATACTGATTAAGCTGTTATTAAAATGATTGCCTGATTATTTTCCAGAATAAGCTTTAAAGCTGGGGCAGTTACATAATGTTACAAATTAGGAAATGTACTTTAAAAAGTGCTTTTAGAGCCTTTTTAAAAGCACTTTAATGAGGCACCAAGAATATAAATGAGCTTAGTGTTTTTCTGTCTTTACCACACGGAACGGGGCCCGTTCTCACGAGAGGAACAATCAAACAATTATTAATCGTGTGAGGGTGTAAAAAGGATGGCAAGTTTGCAAAAAAGCTGCAATGGAACTAAATATGTGTGTTTTCCTCCAGGACCCCAAAGTGTACGTGCAGACCACGCTGGACGTCCATAAGAAATACAACGCCTTGGTCATGTCTGCCTTTAACAACGACGCCGGCTTTGTGGCAGCGCTCGATAAGGTAGAGAAACTAAACATCTGCCCTTATCTGAGTTCTTCAGTATTGCTTTCTCATCATTTTCAGGTGTCATTCTAAATTGTAATTTCATTGCAATTGTTTTCACAGGCGTGTGGTCGCTTCATCAACAACAACGCCGTCACCAGGATGGCTCAGTCCTCCAGCAAGTCTCCAGAGCTGCTGGCCAGATACTGCGACTCTCTACTGAAGAAGAGGTGTGCGATCAGTCCTGTGTGCATCTGAATGGGATCCGACCAAGCAATCTTGATCAGCTGATATTTTTAGAAAAAGAAAAGAAGCAAACCCTGAGTCTAGTTGTTTTTAAAACCTGTGTTTTTTCAGGTTTTTGTAGTGTCACCGCTGATTGTTTATTAAGGATGTTGAGCAATGCAAATCAAGAGAAGAGAAAGTTAAAACAATCCAAGATAGAATAAGACTAGAAATACATGTGTGTTTTCTCTTTATACACCTATAAACTATAACCTGTTTCTGTTTTTACTCCAGCTCTAAAAATCCAGAGGAAGCAGAACTGGAGGACACACTCAACCAAGTGGTGAGAAACTGTGATCTGTGTGTGTGTTTGCACAAATATACTCATAATACTGTGTGTCTCTGGTCATGTTGTAGCAGCAGCTGTACTGGAAAAGTACCACTGAACCACTGACCTAAGGCGCTTTCACACCGGAGTACTTTTCCCCGTACTTTTCCCTTTTAGGTCCGATAGTTCCTGGGATTTTGCGTTCACACCAAAAAGAGAACTTAGTTCATGAGAACTTTTCCCCCCTTTTCAGTCCCTGCTAGAGAGCAGGTACTTTCCTGGGGAGAAACAAGTTCCAATTTCTGATTGGCTGGGCGAATTGCAAACCACGCCCCGTAAAACTCTGAAAAGTTTTGTGAAGCCGCCATTGTATTTGCTGGCATTAGCATTATTAGCATTAGCATTATCCCCGGGCACCAACGGAAAGAGAATAACTTAAGCAACACAAAAAAAAAAACATGGGAGCGGTGGAGATGAGGAGGTTCTGGCGATTTACTCGGAAGGCTTCAGTAGAAGCTGTTGGGACTCCCAGCAGCTTCTACTGAAGCCAGTCCCCACCTCCGGGGACTTCCGGCCAGGGACTTCTGGTGGCAGTATACGCCGTGAAGTGGTTTGCGGCCTGCCAGTAAACCCAAAGCAGAAGAAGAAGAAGTGACGTCAGCGGCTTCATTTGCGTAATCTTCCCTCAGGGACTTATTCCGGTGTGAACGCGATCTGCTCTTTTTTTCCATGGGGGAACAAAGTACGGCAAAGTACTTGGTGTGAAAGCGGCTCTAGTTACTCTCGTGGTAACTGTTGTAAAGAACGTTTTTTCTTTCTTAAGTTGTAGACACTGCAGTGAAAATATTTTTAGACTATAGTATCTGAATTTTGTCTCCATTGTTTATCATTATCAAATGCATATCTTTTATTTTTAAAGTCATACAATTACATTTTTTCTGAAACACAATACATCATTTCATACTGTTTTAGTGCCCTTGTGAAATGCTTTTTTTTGCAGTTTGAATTATGTGCAGCTGTCCAGGTTATCCATTTCTTAAACCTTTTTGTATGTTTTTGTCTTTCCTCTTTTCAGATGGTTGTGTTCAAGTACATCGAGGACAAAGATGTTTTCCAGAAGTTTTACGCTAAGATGCTGGCCAAACGTCTGGTCCACCAGAACAGCGCCAGCGACGACGCCGAGGCTAGCATGATCTCCAAACTCAAGGTGTGTGTGTGTACACAAAAACATCCACAGCAACCCTAAACCTCAGTTTCCCGAACACCTCACGCTGAATGTTTTTTCTTCTTTGTTCTCGTGCAGCAAGCATGCGGCTTCGAGTACACGTCCAAACTGCAGCGCATGTTCCAGGATATTGGAGTCAGTAAAGACCTGAACGAACAATTCAAGAAACACCTGACCAACTCTGAGCCTCTTGACTGTGAGTACACACAAAAAAACACTAGTATCTGACACCAATCATTACATTTATACATATTTCTAAATTCTGATTTGAGCTTATACAGAGCTACTAAATGCAATGCCCATAAAACCTTTCTGAGTAGAAACTGAGTTTGTGTGTATATCTTGCAGTGGACTTCAGTATCCAGGTCCTCAGCTCTGGGTCTTGGCCTTTCCAGCAGTCCTGCACCTTCGCTCTGCCTTCCGAGGTAAAATCTGTTCAACTCAGAAAAAAACATTCACTATGCAGAAGAAGGTTTAATGAGGAAAACTAAATCCACAGCATGATTTACCTTTATTCTGTTCCTACTGTGTGATAAAAACCTGTTTTTTTGCTATTACTTGATTTAGACCAGTGTGAAATGTGTTGACCTGCTGCACTAGTCACTAACGATTGTTGATAACAGCCTTCTTAGGCTGTGAGAAATCTAAGTCAGTTATAATATTTTAGCATTTAAAGTTCAGTCAGTGTTGTCTTTTGCAGTTAGGTTGGGTCCCTCCTTTGGCCGTAGACCTCCCTGTCTAACTCCACTTTTTTTCTCTCGCTCTCCGTTTAGCTGGAGCGAAGCTATCAGCGCTTCACTGCATTTTACGCCAGCAGACACAGCGGCAGGAAGCTCACCTGGCTCTACCACCTGTCCAAAGGAGAGCTGGTCACTAACTGCTTCAAGAACAGGTACGTGTTGCTGCTCAGCTTTAGGATATTTACATGTTGTTCCTTCTTATTCAACATGTTGAGCAGCTGTGAGGAGCCTGCACTTTGATTCTGTTTCATACTGAACCTGTTGTTGTTTGCAGGTACACGCTGCAGGCCTCCACCTTCCAGATGGCCATCCTGCTGCAGTACAACACAGAGGACAGCTACACCGTGCAGCAGCTGACCGACAGCACGCAGATCAAAACTGTGAGTTTGATCACATTTTCACAAACGTATCCTTATACAACATGTATATAGATATTTTGAATAAGCAGAAGTATTCCTCTACTAACCGACTTTTCTTATTTTATTTCAGGACATTCTGGTTCAAGTTCTGCAGATTTTGTTAAAATCCAAGCTGCTTGTGAGTAAATAAACAGCTGATCCTGATTTTGATATTTTGTTTCTTTGTGTTTGTTGTAAGATGTGTAGGGTTGCATCGGGAGGTGTGATTAAAATACGTTTGTGTTCAGATCTGTGATGTGTGTGTGTGTGTGTGTCCTACAGGTGATGGAGGACGAGAACGCCAACGTGGACGAGGTTGAGTTCAAACCCGAGACCGTCATCAAACTCTTCCTGGGATACAAGAAGTGAGCAGAGACACACCAATCATATCTCCCCGCTGCTGAAGACATGTTAAATATATTTAATTTAATTTGCTCTCGCTCCACAGTAAAAAGCTGAGGGTCAACATCAACGTACCGATGAAGACGGAGCAGAAACAGGAGCAGGAGACGACCCACAAGAACATTGAAGAGGACCGGAAGCTCCTCATCCAGGTGACTGTTCACACATCTTATATTCACTTCACAGCCTTAGAAGAGAAAAACACTGAGACAAACATGAGAAATGTCTCAATCTGGTGGAAGATAGTACAGGGTTCCCGCGGGGTCTTTACAAGTCTTAAAAAGTCATCTGAATTTAAGGCCTTAAAAAGTCTTAATTATGATCAAAAAAATAAGAAAGGTCTTAAATATGATTTAGAAGGTCTTAAAAATTATCGGATTTGAAAGGTACTTCTGTGTTGCGATCGCGTCTAAATGTGTTTTGGGGGAAATGTCCGGGCTGCAAAGTAACCAGTACGGTAATAGCCTTTCAGTTAGTGTTAATTTCGTCAGCTATTTTTTTATTTAGTTTTAGTCTTAGTCCTGTGTTAAATTTTCTTTTTAGTTTTAGTCATATTTAGTCACCTTCATCCTGTTTTTATTTAGTCAAATTTTAGTCGACTAAAAGTCTGAGCATTTTAGTCTTGTTTTAGTCAAAGAAAACTAATTATTTTAGTCTACTTTTTGTCAATGAAAACTGAGTCTTTTTTAGTCATCAGATTATATAGAACATTTCAGTCAAACTAGTCTAGCCAAAACCAATAATTTGTCATTTTAGTATATATAAATAAATAAGATTATATCTTGTCCTTATTTGATGAAAAACACAGGTTGAATGATTAAGAATGCAGCTTTGCAGAGAGTATCTGGTCAGGTTTGTGGTGTTTTTACCTGTGTTATGGCCACATTGCTTCCCTTCTGATAAAACAATGCATTCGCTTTTTTTCTCCGCCTCATTGTAGCGAAAATGGGCACAAATATCACATCGTTTCTTTCTCCCAAGCAGTGGTGGGCCTGGTGGCTTTAGACTTTTTCGTTGTCAGTCATTTTGACGGACAGGATCGTAACATTTCCGTCATAATCCATTACTATTCGTCGAGTGCACAATTTATCAATCACTCTCGCTGACGGGGGGGTATTCGGTTAACGCGAGTGCGACCACTGCTCCCAAGCCCTGTTGTTGCCATTTTATTTTCTGTTAAATAAGGTTAGTTAGACCATGAGTTAGACGCGAGTCTTCCTGACAGTTCACAGTGTGCCGCTGCCCGGTGTAATTCAAATGTACCGCCGCGCGCAGCACAGACACACAGCTGCTGCCCTGCCGCAGCACCGGAAATGGAACTGCTGGGAGAAAAACTGACTATCAGAGATGTAACGTTATCTTTGATAATATTTCGTCTCCTCATTTTTCGTCAACGAAAGTAAAGAGAGATTTTGGCATAGTTTTTATTTAGTAAACTACATTTTCGTCTCGTCACTTTTCGTCAACGATATTGCATGATGATTTCGTTACAGTTATTGTTTACTGCCGTCTCGTCATCGTCTCGTTTTCGTCATGGAAAAAAAGGTCGTTGACGAACATATTTCGTCATTTGTCAACGAAATTAACACTACTTTCAGTTCCCCCCAACAATTTGTATTAAAATAAATCAACTAGTAACCTAGCAACCAAGCTTCAGCTAGCGGCAGTCAGAAATTAGGTATCTTCGAATCTACTTACAAATAAATATGGGGAAGTGTAAGTTCAACTGTATTTGGTTGGAAAACATCGAATTTAGTGCTTGGTTGAAACCAGTGGAGGGGAACGTGTTGGAAGCCCGCTGCACCTTTTGCAAACAAAATGTGCGTTTGTTTTGCTAATGCAGCGTTAGCTAGTGCAGCGTTAGCTAGTGCAGCGTTAGCTAGTGCAGCGTTAGCTAGTGCAGCAGCTCCCGCAACAACACCGGGGGACCTCCAGAGTTCCCGTTAGAATATTTTTTCGCCGGTCAACATGTCCGTTAAAGTTTAAATCTTCCGGACAACATTTGAAAAGTGCCGGTCAAAGTCTTCTTTGTTATTTATTGAGCTTTAAAACAAATTGATATGATTCGATATTAAACAAACTAATTATAGTAGATTAACTATTCAAAATTGTACAGTAATTTACAATAACACGGGAATAATAAACGGGGCGCTCTCTCCCTCTCCTGACAGCCCGTCAGTATCATGCAGCTCGCGGATCAGTAATGAGTGACCCGACAGTAAAAATAAACATATCTATAACTAGTTTAGGTAGTTTGAGAGGTAATTAAAATAGCTACGTGTGATATTCTAACCTGAAGTGTGTGTGTGTGTGTGTTGCCCCGCTCACCGCTGCATGTGATTATGCAGAGCTGCATGTCGACTCCTCAGCAGCAGCTGATCTCTCTCTCCCGTCAGACTTTACTCGCGTTTATGTCCATATCGATCAGATCTAGCTAGTTCTAGCTAATGATAGGACTACCTGCTTATTAAAAGACACCTCAACAATAAGCGTCGCTATGCAACCGGGTGAGGCCGCAAAGTATAGCGCAGCATTATGCATAACATGCCCACCGGAACCCCGACGAAGTTTTTATATTGGAAGTGGAAAAACACTTGATTTTATATGACACAACGCCAGCGTTCTCCTTCGGTTTACAGGCACTGTGTCTAAATTATATAGAATAATTATGATGATGAATGCATTGTTTTTACCACTAAAATACAGCAACCCATCTTTGATTCATGTTGTTTTTAACTGGACTATTACAATTATTATTAATTATGTCTGTAGTCTACAACACAACCAAATAGGAAATAACAACAATAAACACGATTTAAACAGACACAAAAATAAACCATTTAACTACGTAGCCTACTTACTTTCTTGTAGAAGTACAAATGTCCAGGAAATATGCCCAAATCAACAAGAACTGCGAGCCGGCATGCACGATGCTCCGCTTCCGTAATGCTTCTGAAACGCTCGTGAAACGCGCCCGGTAGGGTATGACGCCGGAGGAGGCAGGACCAAAACCGCGGCACAGCCGTAACACGCCGCAGACGGACCTGGTGGAAACTAGGGGTTACATGCATTTCCTAGAGACTTATCCTAACCTTAACCATAACCAACACATGCCTAACCCTAACCAAGTATTCACCCTAAAATTAATGATTCCCCTTATGGGGACCTCCAATTTGTCCCCATAAGGGAGGCGAGTCCCCACACGTGACTGTGTAAACAGATTTAGGTCCCCACAAGTATAATGCTAGGACACACACACAGACATACTAACACAGTTCTATGTACTATTATGTTCAGTCATCGTTCTTATGTTGAACATGAATACATTTACTTTGTAAGTAATTATGGGACGTATTTCTTCTTTCATAGCAATTTTCCTTCGTACTTTCTTGCCGTGAAATATGTCTTAAATTCTATTCAAAGTTGTCTTAAAAAGGTCTTTAAAAAGACTTAAATTTGAGTTGGTGAAACCTGCAGGAACCCTGTAGTAAAAGAAGTACAAATGTAAAGCCAGGGCTCTAGATGTAAAGCCTCATATAACCAAAAGCAGGATTCAACGTGCTTTGTGCATAGTGTTTTAAATGCATTTTTATTTCTCCTGAGAGATATAATTGTAACATTTATTAAAGAAGAACAACAGAGCAATCCTGATTTTTCTTTGCAATAACGAATGTGTGTTTTCAGGCGGCCATAGTGCGGATCATGAAGATGAGGAAGGTCCTGAAGCACCAGCAGCTTCTGGCTGAAGTCCTGAATCAGCTGTCGTCTCGATTCAAACCCAGAGTCCCAGTCATCAAGGTAACACATGAATAGGAATGTTATATAGTTCTCGGGTTTTAATGTTCTCATCACACTGTTGTTTCACTCTTGGACACATGCACTGCAGCTTTTTGTTTGTGTTGATTTCATTTTATTGTGTTTTGTCAGAAATGCATCGACATCCTGATCGAAAAGGAGTACCTGGAGAGAGTGGACGGAGAGAAGGACACATACAGCTACCTGGCCTGAACGCCCCTTCCCCGCCGGCTCTCCTCAGTTTTATTTGTTATCTTCTTCATTTCTTTTTTTTAATTTTATGTCTGAGTAATAAAGTGAGGATCCCTCTGACCGGCGGCCATGTTGTAAGTGTGTCGCCGACAACAAACATCCAACCCGAGGGGGGAGGAGGGTGAGGACTTTTTCCTGAACCCCTCCTGTTGAGGGCGGGAAACCCCGTCTACACTCTCGCCTGTCCCGTCCCATGCATAGGACTCAAACACACACACTTCCTTCTTGTCATATTGTAAATAACAACACAGACTCTAAGAGGAAAAAACAAAAAAAACCCTGCTCCCTTCTTTACATAGCGCAAACATAATGAATTAGCCAATCAGAGGAGAGCCGCATCCAAAGGTTTCTGCATGCTACTGCCTACCTGCACCACAGTGACCACGAAAAAGATTAAAAAGTAAAAATAAAAGTCGAGTCACTGGGCAGTTTCCCGTACGACGACGCTGACGCCGGTCCTGTAATTTAAAGTGTGCGACTGAACCGGAGGAGGAGTGGTGAGTGTCGGCCGCCATGACGCTTCTTCACCTGCTGAAGGTGTTTTTGGTTTGAGGTCGGTCGGGTTCATGCAGGAGGCCTGTTTCATTACTGACGGTGGACATTTGTATAGTGTGGTTCATTTTCTAAATGTGTGATAAATAAAAATAAGGAAAGATTTCTCTAAATGTTCTCCTGAGACTCTGTTTACACCTCACTCGCCTGTTTGAATGGATTTCTGTTTTCTTCACTGGGTTTTCATTGGTCTACTTCATGTTATGTAATATAAAAACATTAAAGAAACATAATATGAAGCTATATTAATACCACTGGTGGAATGTAACAAGATAAAATGTTGATGTACTTTTTGTAGAATAATGCTACTTTTAATTTGTCAATCTTCTGGAAAATCGTAAATGTTGAATCAAGGGTTCTAGATGTAAAGCCTGATTATAAAAGAACACATTATAATATCCTCTTGTGATGTCAAAGAATGTAGTTTCTGTGTAGAAATATTTGAGTGTTTATTTTGGGTACACACTTTATTATAGAACTGATATAGGAGCTGAAGTTGATCTTCAGGATTGCAACTCTACTCAATCAGATTTCAAAGGGAAATATTGCACTTTTATTCTACATTTATTTGTCCTTAATTTTTTACACAAAACATTGTTCTTCCAATTGCCATGCATGGAGACACAGAGTTCTGTAAGCCAATGGCTGTTAAGTGGAGGAGGGGCTTTGTCGGGCTGTCAGCCAATGGCTGTTTAGAAGGAGCTGAGCTCAGCTCAGTAAACTTGGCGACCCTTTCCTTTGCTTGCTGTGTCCGCAGAATATCATTCATTGGGGAAACTGGCCTGTTATTTAGCTTTTTTGTGTATTTTTCTGTACAAACTGATGCTTTTTATCATTAAATATTAAATCGGGGCTGCCCGGCACGAGATGAACAGCTGATACATTTGCTGCTGCTCTTACTGGAGCTTTCAGCAGAATGGTTTTGTTACATTTAACACAATAAATGAGACACTGTACCTTCACGTGTCTGTAAACTAAACACAGCCACCAATGCATTTGACTTGTTTTCCTATTGGAACAACATGCACATGACAACTGACACCACCATTGCAAGAGAATTAAATATGAAGTCTGGTGGTTAATAATTCCGTCAAACCCATTTTGAGTTTTTAGTTTTATTCCGTTGACACAATCGAGAACAAAGAAAACCTGTCCACATGTCCCCGCTTGGCCCGGTGCAGCTTTGAAGTCTGATTTGCTAGCACGGTGATACCAACCCGACCAAACACGTGCTTCCATACTGCGAAGCCCCAACATCGGCTGCTGTGATTGGCCCGCTCGTTTGGCGCCTCTTAAATGTGCTGCAGCCGTAGTGGGCGGTGAATGCAAGACGGGGAGCCGTTTGAACCGTCGCTGTGCCGAGGCGGAAACATTGAAATTGGACAAATTGTGTATAGTGAGGGTGAGATGAAATGGTGTTATATATATCTACAAACACTGTGCCTTTTATGAAGCCTGGTTTAGAGTACTGTAACGTCTGCTTTTATTCTGTTTGCCGACTCTAAAGCCGTAAAGCCGGCAAAGTGTTTCGCTCCTTCCTCTCTGAGCTAACTGCTAGTTAGCTGCCGAGCTAACAGCTAGCCGGAAAACAGGCAGCTAATACCCAAGACAAAAGACGACTTTCCCCCGTCACTTATATCCAGAATCACTCTGTTGAATGAGGACTGAACCTCCTGTGCAGGTAAGAGGAGCTGTCAGTGTTGCCGTCTCTTATTTACAGCGCCTTTGTTGCGATGGTCTGCTCTCGATGCTTTGTTGGAGGTCTCAATCTTTGTTAACTAACTGTTAGCTACCTCGCCGGTGCCACATTTGGTATCCCCGTCAAAATATATTCCCCTTGTAAATAACCTTGTTTTAAAGAGTAAAGTGTATCTTCAATATGAGATTAGGATAAAACTGTTTATTTTCCAAGTAAACAGCAGGGACTTAAAACTTGACACCGGGTATTTATTGTAAGCTTGACTGTTATTTGTTGCTAGCTCTGGTTGATGCTTTTCTTATACAAGTGCTTTTTTGTGTGTAACCATTAACTGCCTTCTAGACACGTGTCATGTATATTCAGGTAATGAGAGAGAGCATCGATCTGTTTGAAGGGTAATTTTGAAACTATGGTGCCATTTATATATTTATTAAAAGGGTTAGTACTACTAGTAATACTTTATATATTAATATCGGACTTGGATGTGTCATTTGAGGGATTTTCACACATTGGGTGCTCTCTCTGATCCATAAATTAGCCTGTGTTTGTTTATCTACAGGCCTTATTGGTAGTGATGGAAATACTTGGATACCTTGCTTAACTATGGTGTAGACATGAGACATACCATAGACTGACGAATTTCCATCAGAAGTAAAAGTCCTGACTCTAAATGCTGCTAAAGTAAACTTAGAAACACCATCGTCTCCAAATACATAGGGACAGACAAAACAATCTACTTCAAAATCCTACTTAAGTAAAAGTAGAAACATAGGCAAACATCCTCCTCATCACAAGTCATGAATTCAAAAGGCTACAAAGGTAAAAGTAGAAATATTAAAGTCTATAGAAATACTCCACTCGCAAGTAGAAGTCCTGATTCAGTAAAAGTAAAAACATGTATTGTCCAAAAGTAGCCTACTGCATCACAAGTCAAAAATGATACCAAAGTAAAAATATTATGGTTTTTTTCTTGTACAGTTTGGTAAAACTCCTTGATACAAATGTGGATTTGGTCATATTAGGTTATATAAATACAATTTAAGTTATTTGAAATACTTCAAGATGGGTACATTATTACAAAATGCTACTAAAGTAGAAATATGAAGTCTAAAAGTACTCCTGTCACAAGTGAAGGTCCTTATTCAAATTCTATTTCAGCAGAAGTGAGAATTTCCTAGTGTCATAATCCGTTACAAGAAAATATCCTGATTTTGAGACATTTGTTTGTGGTGCTGCTAGGTTATTCTGGGATGTAGTTCTATTCGGTCCACACGTTTTATATCAGTGAGGGTAGACTAGATAGACATCATTTTGGTTGGTTTGGTACAATGTGTTCTGCCAGTGCAGTTTGCCATATCTATTACAATCTGACACATCTCTTACCAGCATGTCTCCATGACACTAAATGAAAGAGCTTGATCTCAATAGATCTTGTTGCTACACCTAGACAGGTGGCTTTTGTAATTTGAACACTAAGAAGGGCTAGGAAAAACCCTGTCACCTGTATTTGAATACGAAAATGTTGCCCCATGAAGAAGAACTGAGTGGAAGCTGCTTTTATTTTAATTTTGAGGGAAGTTCCACATATCTAAATCACAGCCCAGTTTTCTTTCACTTACAAAAGAAAATACAATGAAATTCAATGGAAGTACAGTCTCTGAAGTAGTAAAACAGTCTACAAATGCCTCACATTTATGGAAAACGTAATTTGTAAGAGATTAAGTCTAATCTAATAGCTGGAAATTAGCAATGTTGGCTAAAACTGCCCCATTTACTTTTTTTTGTGACAGTTGATCAATGGGGACTGTCCAAGACACTATAAACAAATAAACTAAACTAAACACACAATATGAACAAAATGTAAAAGATTCAGCCAACTTTTAATTGAACTGATTTTTCGGTTTTCTTTAACAAAATAACATATATGTTTGCATATACAGTTTATTTTTCTCTTGGAATAACTTCTCTATCCTCTTTTTACAACATTTAAAACAATAAGAGTATTTTATTTGTTCCTCTAAATTAGCTCTGATATGGTGTTGTTTGGTATTAACAATTAGGGGGAAATCTGGCTGCCATTGTTAAGTTTCAGGAATATTGTGCTTGTTGTAAAACTGGATAAATATCTATTGCTGTGTAGCAGACATGAGGCTGGTGGAACTAAAGCAGGGTCATGATGTTGGTATCCTCATGTTAGCCCCACAATATATACCAGATCTATAAGACTGAAACAATGCACATCAATAATAATTGCTATAATAGGCTTTTTTGCGATAAGTAATAGTACAGATGTTTCAGTCACCCTTAAAACAAATGATAATACTTAGGAAAGGAAAAGTTAATACAACTATTAAAACATGCAACAAAGAGCCTAACAATACAGAACAAGGGTATTACAACTAAATATGAATTTGTTTATTAACAAAAATAAATATTAACAGTTTATAAAAATCCATACAACATAGAGGCTCACTATACAGGACATGCCAATTAAATAAACATCGTAAAATTAAAAACATACATATTACATATCAAAAAGATAGCGACAGGGACACAAGACGGTATAATGCCATTTATTTTAATTTTATTGCTGACAGTTGCTAATTCCGTTTTAACCCATAAGGACCCAACGTGACACGGGTGTCACATGAACTTTAAACGTTCTGGAAAGTTCCTTGTACAGCTTTAGCCTTTATTTGATCTCTTGAAGTCCCTAACGGAGCCTACACACGGCGGCGTGCGACCAACAACCAATCACATGAATGTCCCGCCCCGGACATACAAAGCAGAGCATTCATGCTACATCCATGCTGGCTAAATATATTGTCTATGCTTGCTAGCTGTCCATTCAAACGAAGTACACTGGATATAAACTCCCCAAACAGGCGAAAACCTACCAGTTTCACCCACTGTCTCTGCCACCTCCCCCCATGCCTGGCTCCTCCGGTTTGTATCCCTGTATGTAAAGAGGGACTGGTCATATAGTACCGGGTGATTCCCTACCGCCACGATAATTTTCTCCTCCATTTTTTGACATATGGGAAATAACTGCGGTCTGGCTCTCCCAACATACACGCGGTTTGATTGGCTAGCGCTTGTACTGTCAGATTTGCATACGCGGGATTTGATTGGCTAACGCCTCCGTCGAGGCGGCAAAAGTAGAACATTGCTCTACTTTTGCAGCGAGCACCGCGAGAGAAGCTACGCTTTGCTCCCACAATGCAGTCCGGCGAATCGTGACGTCACCCCATTCAAAGTGAATGGGCAGAAGCGTTGAAGCGGCAACGCACGCCGCCGTGTGTAGGGGCCGTAAGTGACACACCCTGAACAGTCTGGTGGGTCCTGGTCCAGGACATGTGATTTTTGTTCCCATAACAACATGTCCAAGATGTCCATGTGCCAGACTAACACATGTGACAGAACTAGCTACATTTCAAAAGCTTTTTGTTGTTGTTGTTGCTAAAGGTAAAATTCAAGCCATTTAAGAATTAAAATGCTTACATAAAATGTCCTTTATTACATTCAACCTGTTGTGGAAACATTTCTTGATCAAATTGATATGAGACAAACATCGCTGTGACATCGGGACTTTAACCCTAAACGTTCACAGTAAACCCAAAGTGACATATGCACAATTAGAAATATTATTATGATCTGCTCAGTTAATTTAGCTGATTCAATTATGTTTAGTTAATATATTCTTTATTCTACAATTCAAAGAATGTTCAAACTAATTGTAACCAAAAAATCATCCTCATTAATTAAGTTATAAATAAGAGTTATTTTACCATTAAACCCCAATGACATATGTCACATTTCAGATATTTGACCCTAGGGGGGGTTACTTGTCGGAAATGTGTTCTAGGTGGTCTATTTAGTCTAAATGATGTTCCCCTTAATTTTTCCAAAAGTAGAAATGGGTCTGGATTCTTATGGGTTAATTGACCTATGGCTTAAATAAGTTGTAAATAAAGTGTATGTGGCTTTTCCTTAATGGTTGCTGGTATGGTGTTCCATATTTGTACATAAGACAAGCATTTTCAAGTTTCTTGTAAAAGCGATGTGTGAAAAACAGAAACTTGAATCTTCCTTGCACTCGCACTGCAGGTTAAAGATGGTGCTGACAGGGAAGCGCTCGGAGAAAGGCCCGGCATGCTGGAAGAGAAGAGTGAAGTCAGAGTACATGAGGCTGCGGCAGCTCAAGCGCTTCCGACGAGCCGACGAGGTCAAGGTTCGTCCACACACACTCCCACCTTCATACACTGCACATTTTCAGGGACTTCAGCAATATAGTCAACTAGTTCAATATCCAATGTAGAGCCATGGAGATGAAGTCACTGTTTTTACTATGAAATGTTGCATGAAATGATGGCATATGTTAGCAGGTGGCTGACATTTTTTGTCTTCAATTCAGTTAATTTGAATGTCTTTTACCTCTTCCAGAGCATGTTCAACACCAACCGTCAGAAAATCATGGATCGCACTAAAGTTTTGAATCAGGAGTGGGAGACCAGGCGAATCCAACCAGTGCACATCATGACGTCCGTTGGCTCTTTGAGAGGCACCCGGGAGGTCGGTGGATTCACACCATCCTCAGTACTCTAGTAGACAAAAGGTTTATCCACAAACGGTGGAATGAACCTAACGCCTCTGAAGGTTTGAGGTGTAAATCTTCTCTCTGATTCTCTGTGCAGTGCACGGTGGACAGCGGCTTCTCGGAGTTCCCTCGGCAGGTCATCCCCCTGAAGACCCTCAACGCCGTGGCCTCAGTCCCCGTGATGTACTCCTGGTCCCCCCTGCAGCAGAACTTCATGGTCTGCATGTAGTGGAAAATGTTCTTTATGGAAGTTTTGTGCCTAGTTGTAGAAGTGAAACATGACAGCAGTGATTGGTCAGCGCTCTGTGCGTCTCAGGGTTCCCTTGGTCAAATATTATGTGTTTTTATTATTGAGCTTGAAAATAATTGATAGGAAGGCTATATAAAGATTGACACCATCAAGGCATGTAGATTTAGGTTTTATTGAAAAGTCCGTTTTTTCAAATAAATGAAGCAAAGAAATAAGAATGAATATTACGTAATATTCTGCGATGACTCAAACACAAAAAATATTAAGGCTTAAGGCCTATATATTCTCATAAAATAAAAAAGTAAAAAAAAACGGAAAAAAATTCTAATTTGCTTTTCTATAGTGCGTTAAATAAAAGATGATACTAGAATAAATGAAAAGATAACCCATTACCTGACTCATTTCATTTTGGGTCACTCTTCACTTGTTCCTGGTCAGTATGTGAATCCCGGGTGTGTGTGACATGTTTGTTTTCTTCAGGTGGAGGATGAGACGGTGCTCCATAACATCCCCTACATGGGAGACGAGATCCTGGACCAGGACGGGACTTTCATAGAAGAACTCATCAAGAACTACGACGGCAAAGTCCACGGAGACAGAGGTGAGGGCAAGGGGGCGTGAACAATGCATGCTGCTGCACTAAATGTGCTACATTTTATTGATAGTTTAAGGAACAAAATAGCTTTTTAGCACACACACAGAAGTAGACATCCAGCTTAGAACAAGCAGTTGGACAAAGTTAACAATTTAGCTTTAAATATATACGCAAAGGCTTCTGGAAGTAAAAGATTGAAGACATTTAAAGCTTACAGTGGGGCAAAAAAGTATTTAGTCAGCCACCAATTGTGCAAGTTCTCCCACTTAAAAAGATGAGAGGCCTGTAATTTCCATCCTAGGTATACCTCAACTATGGGAGACAGAATGAGAGGAAAAATATCCAGAAAATCACATTGTCTGATTTTTAAAGAATTTATTTGCAAATTATGGCAGAAAATAAGTATTTGGTCAATAACAAAAGTTCATCTCAATACTTTGTTATATAACCTTTGTTGGCAATGACAGAGGTTAAACGTTTTCTGTAAGTCTTCACAAGGTTTTGGGGCTGTCGCTGGGCAACACAGACTTTCAACTCCCTCCAAAGATTTTCTATGGGGTTGAGATCTGGAGACTGGCTAGGCCACTCCAGGACCTTGAAATGCTTCTTACGAAGCCACTCCTTCGTTGCCCGGGCGGTGTGTTTGGGATCATTGTCATGCTGAAAGACCCAGCCACGTTTCATCTTCAATGCCCTTGCTGATGGAAAAATCAAAATCAAAATCTCACGATACATGGCCCCATTTATTCTTTCCTTTACACGGATCAGTCGTCCTGGTCCCTTTGCAGAAAAACAGCCCCAAAGCATGATGTTTCCACCCCCATGTTTCACAGTAGGTATGGTGTTCTTTGGATGCAACTCAGCATTCTTTCTCCTCCAAACACGTCTAGTTGAGTTTTTACCAAAAAGTTCTATTTTGGTTTCATCTGACCATATGACATTCTCCCAAACCTCTTCTGGATCATCTAAATGCTCTCTAGCAAACTTCAGACGGGCCTGGACATGTACTGGCTTAAGCAGGGGGACACGTCTGGCACTGCAGGATTTGAGTCCCTGGCGGCGTAGTGTGTTACTGATGGTAGCCTTTGTTACTTTGGTCCCAGCTCTCTGCAGGTCATTGACTAGGTCCCCCCGTGTGGTTCTGGGATTTTTGCTCACCGTTCTTGTGATCATTTTGACCCCACGGGGTGAGATCTTGCGTGGAGCCCCAGATCGAGGGAGATTATCAGTGGTCTTGTATGTCTTCCATTTTCTAATAATTGCTCCCACAGTTGATTTCTTCACACCAAGCTGCTTACCTATTGCAGATTCAGTCTTCCCAGCCTGGTGCAGGTCTACAATTTTGTTTCTGGTGTCCTTTGACAGCTCTTTGGTCTTGGCCATAGTGGAGTTTGGAGTGTGACTGTTTAAGGTTGTGGACAGGTGTCTTTTATACTGATAACGAGTTCAAACAGGTGCCATTAATACAGTTAACAAGTGGAGGACAGAGGAGGCTCTTAACCAGTTAAGCCCTGAGCCTGTTTTTCAGGTTTCAGGCTCGAAAATGCCACTAACACAACAAATGATATATCTTCACTTCTAAAAGGGGTAAATTAATAATTATTTTTCTCAAAGCAAGGTTACATCTGTGAGTTGGATGTAGAAATGTCAGAATCAATATAGATGTTTTTATTTTAAAGTAAATTCAGATGGAACATAGTAAAAACATGTAAATTCTAATGTCCACCTAAAAAAAAAACCTTTACTTATAGTGAAAACCACCCTTGCATGATGGGATAGTAGACTAAAAGCTTTAGGAATCCAAACTATAACATATAATAAGTACCCTGTATCAAGATTGATGCAAAACAAGTGAAATTTGACCTTTTTAGAGAGATTTAGAAAAATAAAGTCTAAGCGGACTCACCTCTGGGTAATTTGGGAACCATCGGTTCCATTTGAACTTTTTCACTGTAAAAATCATTTTATTACTTTGAATTATCACTATAGGTATTCATTCCATCCAAATACAACTGTTGTGAAAAAATAAATTAAAAAAAACATAGGCTTACTCTTACAGTGAGCCTCTGAATTAGCCCCGAGCGAAAAATGCTAACCTATTACTGCACCGAAAATCACTCCTCGCTCCCTTATTACTTATCCTAGCTACACATCCAACACATTGTTTATGATCGCAAGGAGACACAGAATCTAACGGTGCCCACCTGAACAGCCCAACACTGAAAGATACAAACTCGTGACGTTATCAACAAAAACGTACATCAAAACAAATGGCGCTAGCGCTAATGCGCTAGGCTAACAATGACTTACCTTCCTCGTTGTCTGGTCTAAACTGGTCTTCAATGGCATTCAAACGATAAAAACGATGTAGTTAATCCATAGATTAATATCCAATGGGGCTGTGTCCCCTTTGAAATGTTCTGATAATCTATAAGCAATAAAACTGCAATTCCGTTATCTGCTGTCCGCTCTGTGCTCCGTGCGCTCTGGGTCCTGCTGCAATACCTGCTTCGTTACGCTGTAAACAATAAATGAAGTCGGCTGCGTAATGTACTTAAGTTGGCTGCCATTCTTTAGAATTTACGCAGGACCATATCTCTGGAACCCATTGGTCGATTCGTGTGATTTACACCTTTTTCTTAACCATCAGAACCAATAGAATCGATGGGCAGTTCCCACATCTACGTAAACATTACCATAGCGGACGTAATAGAGAAGCAAACGAAGCATATCTGAAAGTGCAAGCCTGGACGGCAATACTTTATACCGAGTATATTGCCATAAATATGATGATTGATTATCAGTAAAAAATTATACGTGACACAAAGACATTGGATTAACCTTGAGATGCGGAACCGGATGTTGTTTACTTTCTCTTTTCTGGCTGATAGCTCCAGGAATTCGAGGTCTTACAGTGATGACATTACATGTGTGGAATCTGTGGAGTCTCAGCTTTAAATCGTATATCTTGTTTGTGCAGTTAAGATAGTAATAAGGGCATTTCTACCGTGTGTTGTGTGTAAAAAAGCGTTAGCATTAGTTAGCATTTTTTCGCTCAATGCTAATTCAAAGGCTTGGTATTACTCTTGTGTTTTTTTTAGCTAACAATTGTTCTTATTGTCAGTTAGCGGAGTTTCTTACCTTTTTAAAAGGGTATGAAACATTAATAGTTTCATAAATGTTAAGAAGCCCTGAGACATGTGAGAAAAAAAAACTGTGGGAGGGGTCCACTGGGGGGACCTTCGGGCTTAACTGGTTAAAGAAGAAGTTACAGGTCTGTGAGAGCCAGAAATCTTGTTTGTTTGTAGGTGACCAAATACTTATTTTACCGAGGAATTTACCCATTAATTCATTAAAAATCCTACAATGTGATTTCCTGGATTCTGTCTCTCATAGTTGAAGTGTACCTAGGATGAAAATTACAGGCCTCATCTTTTTAAGTGGGAGAACTTGCACAATTGGTGGCTGACTAAATACTTTTTTGCCCCACTGTATCTGACAACTAAACTCTGCACAGCAGTTTCTAAATCTATAAGAGCATGTGAAAAATCTGTAAACCTCAAAATGCCTGCGGTGCAAATAGTAGTAGTTTGACTTTTCCCTGTGACATCCAAACGCATACTTTCCTGCTGAAAATACATTGTTGTGTTTGGCAGAGTGCGGCTTCATCAACGATGAGATATTCGTGGAGTTGGTCAGCGCTCTCTCGCAGTACAGTGACAACGAGGACGATGAAGAGGAGGAGCAGGACTTCAAGGTGGAGAAGGTAGAGAAGGTAGAGAAGGTGGAGCTGTGTGACAGCAAGGAACATCCAGAGGACCCGCGCAAAGACGGACTCATCAACAATGACAGTAAGTCCCTCACTGAGGGGCTATTGCAACTGCAATATGATTCACTTTTTGTAGGGATTGATCCATTTTTGATTAATAATTCTCATTATCAATGTTACATTAAATTGATTATGCTGTGATTTAATTTTTTCCCCCCAAACAAATCTGTTTTGCAAGGTCTATAGAATACAATTAGTAGGCAATTCATATCTGCAGCTCTACTATACTTTGTTAGCCTTTAAAAATGTAAATAAATTCTGTCGCACTTTTAATTAACATTTAAGAAAGAGACGGACCTAAATCTAATTGAAGTCCTGCAACAGGGAAATGTATGGATATAACTTAATAAAGGAATGTAAACATGCTTATTTACTGACTGTATGTATGTATGTATTTCTTCACGGTTAAGAAATAAAATGACGTGCTGTTTTTTTAACACTTACAATGTTTTATTTCTCCTTAAACGCCTTTTTTATAGTGAAACCACTCATTTGGTAAGTGACATTTAACAGGGGTTTTGTGAGTTTTGTTCCCTGATGGAAATGTTACGTCTCCAGGCCGAAGCAGTAGTGACGGCAGCAAGAAGTTTCCCTCTGACAAGATCTTTGAAGCCATCTCCTCCATGTTCCCTGACAAAGGCTCCACTGAGGAGCTCAAAGAGAAGTGAGTGGTTCTGTGTGTGTGTGTGTGTGTGTGTGTGTGTGTGTGTGTGTGTGTGTGTGTGTGTGTGTGTGTGTGTGTGTGTGTGTGTGTGTGTGTGTGTGTGGTGTGTGTGTGTGTGTGTGTGTGTGTGTGTGTGTGTGTGTGTGTGTGTGTGTGTGTGTGTGTGTTGTGTGTGTGTGTGTGTGTGTGTGTGTGTGTGTGTGTGTGGTGTGTGTGTGTGTGTGTGTGTGTGTGTGTGTGTGTGGTGTGTGTGTGTGTGTGTGTGTGTGTGTGTGTGTGTGTGTGTGTGTGTGTGTGTGTGTGTGTGTGTATAACAGGGACACGATGATTTTGTACTGTAACAATATGCGCTTCTCAGGATTTTAGAAACGTATAAATATGCACACACATTACTCAAATATAATAAAATAAGTACACATCCAAGGCAGAATAAATAACAGCATTATACGTGTAAATGAATCTATTTGCCAGTAGCAAATGGTAAGTTCAAATTTCAGTTATTCAACAACAGTGTACACATCATTTACAACATAACATCCAGTGTGAATATACAACGATTCCTCTGAGAAAGATTCTTCCTTTGGAAAATGTATTTCCGTCAGCTTGCAGCTTTGATTTCTGTGTGTGTGTGCGTCAGGTACAAGGAGCTGACGGAGCAACAGCTGCCCGGAGCGTTGCCTCCTGAGTGCACGCCTAACATCGACGGTCCCAACGCTCGCTCTGTGCAGCGCGAGCAGAGTCTTCACTCCTTCCACACGCTGTTCTGCAGACGCTGCTTCAAATACGACTGCTTCCTCCACCGTCAGTACACACACACACACACACACACACAACACCTCAGAAATAACATGGAGCGATTGAGCCATTTGAATGACAATGACTTTAAATATAAGGTATAATGATGCATTAATACTATAAGCTGGATTGTTTTAAGCCAAATTATTATCTATTCAGTTTTTTTCTATGTCCAATAGCTTTCCATGCAACTCCAAACACGTATAAGCGCAAGAACCTGGAGAACCTGGTGGATAGTAAGCCCTGCGTCATGGACTGCTACATGTACCTGGTACAGGTGAGTCGCTCTTAGCACATCTCTTAGGCAAAATCCGTTTTTCAAACCATGCTAAAATATCAGAGGTACTTAATTCCAACCATGTGTAACTCTTTTAATAACATAATATAAAACTACTTTATTAATGACTTTTTTTCACTTATTTATTGTATATTATACTTTATTACTTTTTAGAACATACTATAATTTCACTTTTTACTATCTTCATCCATCTTTGTAATATGGTGATGCATGCAACTGCATTCATAGTAAGAGTCTTATCCCAGCACAAAATAACATGGATTTATTTGGGAATATTTGAAACGCTTTCTTAATCTCGCTCTGAACGGAATACATTTGATATTTGAAACTGAAGTATTACCTGATGAAATATGATGTCCTGCTGTGATCTCTCAGGATGGGTTAGTGAGGGAGTACCCGGCCGGAGTGGTTTCAGATCAGGTCAAGACGCCCTCCAAACGCTCCGTGGGTCGTCGCCGCGGACGACTCCCAAACGGCCAGCCCAGCACCCCCTCCGTCTCCTCGGAAACCAAAGACACAGACAGCGACCGGGAGGGCAGCAAGGAAGACGAGCGAGACAACGAACAGGACAACCATCAGGACAACGATCATGACAACGAGCAGGAAATAGAGCAAGAAAACGGGGGAGAAAATGATAAAGACGACGATGACAAGAAGGATGAAAACACCAGCAGCTCAGGTACTCACTCGTAACATTAAGCTGCCATTAAATAGACCCTCCAGAAAAACGCAATTATGCGATCGCATAATCAGCTAAATGGCGCATATTTATTAAAAGGGCGCATAATCCCCGCATTTTTCACACAAAGTAAAATAAAGTTAACTCGTCTTGACGTGATGATGATGACGCGACGTCATCAGCTCGCGTATCACAGAAGGTAAACAACACCGTAGAGTGTGGAGCTCACACGAGAGAGAAAACACCAAGATGAAAAAATCTAATCCATCTCATTTACCGACGAACATTTCTGCTAAAGACCGGGCAAAGCAGTTCCCCGATGTCTTGCACGAAAGTGGGGGGAAACTATTCTGCACCCCGTGCAACTGTGTGTTGGAGCATAAGAGAACATCAACGGTGACGACCCATTTTGATTCATTCAAACATTCGAAAATGCTTTCTGCTGCTGCGGACAAGAAAGCCAAACAACTCACGTTCACCGAGGCATCAACCTCCAAAACCCTTTCGAGGGCTACAAGAAACGAGGTGAGAAGCCTACAAGATTGAAGCTGGTCAGATAACGAACAAGTAAAGTGTGTGTGTGTGTGTGTGTGTGTGTGTGTGTGTTGTGATGTATTGAATGTGTTTAATTGAATCGTAAAGGGGTTTAACGTTAGTGGCAGGTTGTGTGAGAGAGAGAATAAATAAGACAGCCCAATATTTCCCAAAAAATATTTAGCATATTTCGCAACTTCCCGCATAAAAACCCCGCATGTTTAATCGCATAATCAAGGATTTTTGCCTGTGTTTTTCTGGAGGGTCTAATTAAAGTTGTTAGCAAAAACAACTGAATATGTTGTACTATACATTTTTATCTTGTAGTACAATGTGCACATTTTTACTTACTCATTTTATATTTTGCACATTTTCACTTTGACTCGTCTTTATATATCATTTTTATTTTATAAAGCACTCTCAAAGTTCCCTTGCAGAGTTAAAACGTAGTCTCTGGTTTAGTTTCTTAGTGTCTTGGAAGGTTCTTTGTGCCCCATGGAAGTGGATAAGCTCTTTTTGCTTCGTGTGTGTGTGTGTGTGTGTGTGTGTGTGTGTGTGTGTGTGTGTGTGTGTGTGTGTGTGTGTGTGTGTGTGTGTGTGTGTGTGTGTGTGTGTGTGTGTGTGTGGTGTGTGTGTGTGTGTGTGTGTGTGTGTGTGTGTGTGTGTGTGTGTGTGTGTAGAGGGTAACTCACGGTGTCAGACTCCAGTGAAGATGAAGCTGAGTGTGGAGGCTGAAGCTGTGGACTGGAGTGGAGCAGAAGCTTCTCTCTTTAGGGTTCTCATCGGGACTTACTACGACAATTTCTGCGCCATTGCACGGCTCATCGGCACGAAGACCTGCAGACAGGTCAGCCCCCGCTGACGTCAAGTTTACCTGACAGTCACCTGACAAACTGACTTTGTTATATCGTTTTATCTTTGAACTTAAGTGTGTAGGGGAAAGTTCCTGATGAACTTGTGTTCTCCTTCCTTTGTTCCTGCAGGTTTATGAGTTCAGGGTCAAGGAATCGAGCATCATTGCACGCGCTCCTGCTGAAGACGAGGACACGCCTCCACGGAAGAAGAAGAGGAAACACAGACTTTGGGCCACTCACTGCAGGAAGATCCAGCTGAAGAAAGGTCAGAGGTCACTGCAGCACTTTACCAAAGGAAAAGGGGAAGAGTTTCCATCTAGAAAAGAACCCAAACATGTTTAACTATTGGTTCTTTCACAGGTTTGGATTAAAAGTGTGAATAATATAAATATAATACTAACGTATATAGAATCAATAGTTTAAAAAAAAAAAAAATGTATATGTTTTATGTCTTGAGGTTATGAAAGACGCTATATAAATTCAAGTTATTGTTATTATTATTATTATTATCCAGTTGTATCAGATTCAATAAGAATATCTCATTCTGAAATGAATGAGGCTTGAACCTCAGAGGATCACACATTTCTGAACTAAATGTTATCAGACTATCCAAGTCAAAGATTGGCAAACACATTTCTAAATGTATACAGTACATGTGAAATGATTTTAAGAAGATCACGGTGAAAGAAATGGATAAATGAGTGTGTTAAGCCAAGATGAATCTCTGATTTTGTAGTACAATATTTGACCTCTGCATCTCTCTACAGATGGCTCATCCAATCACGTGTATAACTACCAGCCATGTGACCACCCGCGGCAGCCCTGCGACTCCTCCTGTCCCTGCGTCACCGCTCAAAACTTCTGCGAGAAGTTCTGCCAGTGCAGCTCTGAATGTAAGCACGCACGCGCACACACATACACACACACACACACACACACACACTCTCATTCCTCAACTATATCCCTGCAGAAAGGTAATGGTAAGCTTTGCTCGTTACGTATGCAGGTCAGAACCGTTTCCCAGGCTGTCGGTGCAAAGCTCAGTGCAACACCAAGCAGTGCCCCTGCTACCTGGCGGTGAGAGAGTGTGACCCCGACCTGTGCCTGACGTGCGGCGCTGCAGAGCACTGGGACAGCAAGAACGTGTCCTGCAAGAACTGCTCCATCCAGAGAGGCGCCAAGAAGGTCTTTATTTATTCACTGCACACCTTTATTAACACTTGAACATGGGATGATCTGAGCACAACCCACTGCGTTCAGTAGCAAAATATCCTAAATGTACTCTGCAATTGAAAAGTTTGGAAACAGCTAATGTTTATCTTTCTTTCCTTTTTTTTATAATAATTATTTTAACCAAGATAAAAAACGAATTCCAACAAATGTATTTTTTGTCTCTAGATTTTTCCAAAAAGACCGCGTTTCAATGTTGTATGAAACCTTCCTACAAAATAAAAACCTTTGCATAGAGACTTTCTACGACCTAAAAGTTTCAGACATCGGACTGAAGCTGTTATGATAGGAAATAATAGACCTTTTAAAAACCAGTTTTTTGTATTTTGTGATGTTCCTCTGTCTCTCAGCATCTGCTGCTGGCCCCCTCAGACGTGGCCGGGTGGGGCATCTTCATCAAAGAGCCGGTCCAGAAGAACGAGTTCATCTCCGAATACTGTGGAGAGGTAGGACAAATGTCTGTGTACAAAAGTGTTTCTGCTGCAATGCCATGCGCACCTTTTTAAAAGAAAAAATCCACTTTTTTGAAAGAAAAAATCCACTTTTTTGTATACCTCTTGGATCTGCGAGAAGTATTTAAATGTTGTGGGGAAATGTATTTGCAGATTATCTCTCAGGACGAAGCAGACCGCAGAGGCAAGGTCTACGATAAATACATGTGCAGCTTCCTCTTCAACCTCAACAACGGTAAACATACTTACAGATTGAGAAACTGACCGTGTCCCTCAAACGCAGATGCCCAATACTGTTTTCGTTTCTCTGCAGACTTCGTTGTTGATGCCACAAGGAAAGGCAACAAGATACGCTTTGCCAACCATTCTGTCAACCCCAACTGCTATGCAAAAGGTGAGAAGAGCTGCCACTACAAATGAAAGCATGCATTATAAACTCAGGTAGAGCTGCGCTAACGTGTGTGTGTCCTCTGCAGTGATGATGGTGAACGGGGATCACAGGATTGGAATCTTTGCTAAGAGAGCCATCCAGACTGGAGAGGAACTTTTCTTTGACTACAGGTCAGTAACACCTAGAGTCTGATTGTCTCTTTTATTAAAAGCTCCTAATAATGTTTCAGTGTCCAGCCCCTTCTGAGTCAGTGTTAATTAAACACAGGCCATATCAATAACATATTTTATACAATTTAAGATCTGCTAAATAATCTCAATTAATAATTTCCTCAATGAAATGCCAAAAAGAGACAGCGACCAAGTTTGTCATAAAAAAATTCTTGTTTTGTCGAAAGATATCCAGTTTTTAAATAAATTAAAAGGAAACCAGAAAATAATTCGAATGTTTGTGATGTTGCAAATATCTCATTTGAGAAACGACAGAAACTAATATCAAATGAGTTGCTGATGAAATCTTGTTTAGAGAATCATACCACATTTTGTCCAAAGAATACAGATATTGAAACTCATATCTCTTTTTAAGCGGACCCTTCCTGCACCACTTTATTTCCAATGATTTCAATAAAAAAAGGTTTCAAACCTGAGCAACTGTTGGGTCAGAGCTACCCCGTTGCTCCTGATAATCTGAGTGAACAGACCCGCTCAGACGTCCTCATCTAACGTTTTGTGTGTGTGTGGCAGGTACAGCCAGGCGGACGCTCTGAAGTACGTCGGAATCGAGCGGGAGCTAGAGATGGCCTAACGGAAGCTCTACCTCCCGAGGATCGCCAACACAAAGGCCTTACACTCAAACACAACACCCCTTCCATTCAGGAAACCAGGACGACTTGCAAAATGCTAGAGAGCTTCAGGCAAACTGGGAATATTTGAAGCAGAATTTTTATGCAGTTTTTTTTGCCACAAAAAAGGCTTTTCATATATTTTTTGCTTCTTGTGATTTTTCAACAAATCTTCCTCTTCTGTGGAGACCGGCTTTATGAATCTTCCCTGAGCTGGAGCTCGTCTACGAACTGACTCATTTGTCGTTTTTTGTAATCTGAACTGTAAATGTTCTACAGTGCGAAACCCTATGCCGCCTGTTTGAAACGGGTTCATTTGTTTTAGCTTCAGGGACCAAAAACATCCACCAGCCGCTTTCACACCACGGCCTGGACTCGTTTTGCGATTTTAGTTTCAGTGTTTTTATACGGTGTGAATTACCGGATCACTGTCTGTAAATCAGGAGGCCTTCGCTAAGTCTCACCAGATCAATACAGATTTCTAGGGCTGCACAGACATGTTTTCATTGTGATAAAATCTAAATCACTCGATGCCGACGTACTTCAGAGCGTCCGCCTGGCTGTATCAAAGTCATGCCAAACATTGACTGGCTCTCCGTTGTATATTCACTGAATATACAGGAGTTTTGACAGTTGGTTGGACAAAATATTGCATTTCAAACATTTATCAATAATGGAAACATGTACTTGTTGCAGCCCTAGGTTTAGTTAGTGGACAATTGTTGACTTGTGTTTATATTTAGTAAGAACAGTTTGGTATGAGACGTGATGAAGAGTATATCTTCTTCTGATTTCTTTGTTTGGTTTTTAATATTTGAAACGGCTGATGCAAAAACTGGATAAAAAGCTGATGGAGAATAAGTGCTGGATATATACGAAAGTATATATCCAGCACTAATTCTTAAATTAGTTTTAGCGGCATCTTTTATAATTGAAATGCCTCCAGTTTGATCATTCGATGTTTCTGTTAAACACCAGCCAATGTGACCTTGTCTCAGATATCTTTCTGAGGGTGGGTTGATTTTCAACAGCTTGAAAGTGGCCTCCAGGTTTCTGTTACCGACTCTGTTTTGTGATGCTGCATTCAGGTGCTAACGTGAAAACACAAAACCAGCACTACTTGACCACGAAACTCAACCCACCAGAGAAACACTTTGAACCTTTCTGTCTGTACTTTAAGCTTCATGTCGTGTGCATGTGCTGCTCTCCTCTGAGCCGCACTGCTTTTTTCTTTCTTTCAAACTCAACCAAAACACACGGTTACTGATGAAGGTTTTTATTCATTGTTTTTGTCATCTCTCATTATTGAAGTTTCCCAGCAGCACCGTGCTCTACTCAAGAACTCGGTCCAGTTTGTTTTCTACATCTCCTTGTTTGGTTCGATTCAGGTTGTTTTCAGTCCACAGACTTCACCGAGCTAGATCTGTCTGTAGAATGAAACATTCCTGACTTTTGCTTTTTATACATTCAGCAGCGTACTGAACATTGAGGTTGTCATCCTGCTAAAAAGCTACTGGACCAAATGGACCAAAACTAAAATAAGTTAAATTTCTAATAATGTAAGACGGTAAATCTCCACATTTGATAAGGTCGGTAAGATTTTCCATTTTGTATTTAAGTAAACGACTAAAGGCTAGTAATCATTAGTAAAATTGATGCCAGTTAATTTTCTGTTAATTATTTCTTATAACAAACACGATAATGATGAGATCTTGAGTTTCGAGAGCACAGTGACGGGAAACTTCTCACTTGTTTAAAGTGTTTGTCGATGTTTGACCCTGCGCTGTGCCTTGAGTCCTAAACTCACCAGTCTACAGTCCTATCAATCAGCCAGTCTGATGAATTACTTTCTGCATGATGAAGAGAAAACAGGACCTCTGACTGTACTGCCTCCATGTGATGTCCAATCACTATAAATATATTTTCTCTTGTTAAATAAGCCTTTTTACCAACGTGCAAACAATCACACTTTGACTGTCTTTTTTCTGATGTGAATACTGGTGCTTAAAAGAAAACCAGACTGCCCGGCGTCTGGCCCACGTGAAGCAAAACCAGCCTCCTCTTCCTCCCTTTCCTACTTTACACCTGTAGTTTATAACAATCTTTCAGGAGACAGACAGGGACGTCTCGTGGTGCTCTAGTGTCTGTAGGTGACTATCAGGGCTCTGAAACCTGGTGCTCTTTGGCTTCCAAACAGTCAAATCCGGGAATTGTTCCAGGTGGAGATTTTCCACATATTTTTTTTCACATTATTGTGCGTTAAAATTGTGAATACGATGTTCTGACTACAACCATGTGACCCGAAAGTGTGAATATTTCAAATGGAAAGGTTTAGGAACCCTTAAGTCTTTTTTATAACATCACAAACCATTTCCTGGTGATCCCAGTGTTACTACTTTCTTCACAGTGTGGATGCATTTAATTGGGCTGCGAAAGCATTTAAAGACCATATTAACTAGGATTATCCAAAAACAAAGCCCACAGCAGCTGCTTCCATCCAGAGAAATCAGTTTGATTACAAACCAGCCACTTTTAAACCTGTTGTACATGTTTCAAAGTGGCTGGTTTGTGTGAGACTGAACACACAACGTTTCTACATGTGTCTGAAAGCGTTAATGTCGGCCAAAGGCTGGTTAAAGGTCTCCATCATATTCTTAAAATGGTCAAAACAAGTGTTACCCAGCCCTTGTTATGGTCGAACCTGCAGGTTATTTAACACCGTTGGTCTGCGTTAACTTTTCTCTTTTCTTCTTATTGTCAAACCAGGACCACTTTTTTCCTCCGATGACACAGGTGCTGAATTTGTAATGTTTACAGGGATTTTGTTGTTCAAAGTGATGCAGATTAAAATATTATAAATGTTTGTTTTGTGTCTTTTTGAATTTACACTAACAAAACCTCTTTTAACAGGAATGAGTAGAAACTGCTCCGGAAAAAGTTCTAGTATGTCATGAAAATATAATTTTGTATTTATAATTGAGAAAATAAGTCATAGTATATCAATAAAATGCTTAGTATTTTTATTTTCTTTCTTTTTTAAGCAAATCACAGTATAGTGAAAACATTAATCAATGAAATAAGAAAAACAGTCAGTCAAGTTTTACAATGTAGTAACATTTTTATGCTATTGTTTTAAATCCAGTCACTGTTAAGCCCTCATTTAACCGTGAAAAGGCACTGGTTTCAGGTGAGGGCAAATTGCAAGCTGTGAGGAGTGTCCGTCACAGCTGTCGCCAACTGAGTCAACAAGCCAGGAGTCCTTAAAAAACTGCTTTTTTTTAACGTGGCAGGTGAAGGCTTCGGAGTCTTGTAGCAGTGTGACTAGGCTGAGTGCAGGTGAATCAAACGTTGACTGAGTTAAGTATATTTGCGCTTTCTTTTCCTCCTCATTCAGATATGTGTACTCTGTTTCCGTCACTTGTCGTCCTCCTTTCTAACATCCCTAGAACCGGCCTGCTGCTGGAGCTTCTGTGACATTACCATCCAGAAGGAGCTATCATCTGACTAACTACTTCTGCTGATTGATCTGGTCTCTCAGCCCCCCCCCCCCCTCTCTCCTAAATATGTCCCACTTATGGCTCCCAACTCTGCCGCAGACACTCCTCTCCAACCGGTCTTTTCTGAATTGTGCGCATCCTTCCAATTTTTGCAGGTTCTCCCTGGGTGACCTCCCCACCTATCAATCTCTCCTCTGCTCTTTCTCATATTTTATTTCTGCATCTAAAAGCACTCTCTTTCAATCGTTCTTATCAGACTCCACACAACTCTTCATCACCACTTCTCAGCTTCAGATCAACCCAAGCTGTTCGCAGAGATAGGGGTCAGCGTCACAAAGAAACGTAATCATTTCTGAACTAGCTTTGTCTCCTTTCTTCATCACTGTGTCAATCACAAAACCAGCTTTGTCGCTTCTGTTTTGCTTCTCTTCTGCGCTCTCCCTCTCAGAATCAGTCAGCACCTTTTTCTCAAACAGTTTGTCCACAAGACTTTTGAGTAGAGGTTTTGATGTCCTCTCGATGAAGTCGCTCCATATGTCCCGTAGCCTCTTATGAGCAGAACGTTCCAGAGAGCTCTGTCCACAGGACCTTTTCACTCCAGAGGAGAGACACACTCGTCTTTCCCAGACACTGAGGGAGGCTTTGGAGTTTCTCAAGAACAGCTCAATATGTTTCATCCTTGATTCCAAAGTCACCTGGAATGATGGGTGGTAGTTGTCATAGTCGTCACAGTAAAACTCTGCCTCTGGTGGTTGAACTCGAACTGAGTCGTCCTCTGGACGAGTGGACAGAGTGTACTCCTGCTGTGGGCACAGTTTACAGTGGGGGGGGGTTTCTATGTAGGTCTCTTCTCCAACTATCTTCTTCCTTTTGCGCTTCACATCCTTGATCAAGATGTTACTGGGTAGCAGCAGCACATTTAAGATGGATGTGGGATCAGGATCAGCTGGGGGCCTGTAGAACAGCAGAACCTGCGCTCAGACCGGGTCAGGTGGCGAGTCTTCATCCTTAACGTTCCCAAAACCAGAAAACCCAGTGATGTTTATAATAACATGAGTTTCTGTTACCTTGTGAGGGCGGATAAACTCAATGCTCTCATCTTTCACATGAGCAACGGACAAGAAGCGACAGGCTCCTGTGGAGCGGATCTCACAGTGAGGGAGGTGCAGCTGACACACTGACTGTGGCACACATTTGATGTCAAACAGGGGTCCTGCAGGCTTCTTGTGATGCTGGGCCAGAAGCCTCCTGTTCCAAGGGACGATCCTGTAAAGCAGCTCCCCCTCTCCCTCCATGTGAAACACCAGGCCGGTCAGCCTGCACTGGTACAGGCCGGGGCAGGAGCAGGAGCTCTGGAACCTGTAGGTCTCCTCCTCTTCATCAGCAGTGATCTCAGGTGTAAACTCCCCGTAGCTGCTTTTTAGCAGCAGAGCAGGCAAGCTTTGAGCTCGGGTTAAGGGCTTTGCTATTTGACTCTGTGAAGGCATGCTGTGAGAGCGAGAGAGGCAGCTGGACACTCTGCTGCTCCTAGATCCATCTGGGGGGGGTACAAGGTGAGAAGGGGCTGGCAGGGTGTTTGGGAATAAGTACCTTACAGCTATGGGGGCCTCCACCTGAGCGACACGGTCTGCTGACAGCTCACTGTTAGACTGAACGGGAAAATGAAGTCCATATTGTGTTCCACTTCCTTCTGTGCAGATATTTGTGTCATGGAGGACTGTGGCACTGCCTTGTGCATCTACAGGTGGGGCTATGGACTCACAGGAGGTGTGTTTGAACCTGAAGTCTGGCCTTGAGGCCATGGGGTGAGACACAGTCATTGCCTCTGCAAAATTACAATCATCATGCCAGTCAGAAAGAGAATCAGCTGTAACAGATGAATTCCTTAAGACATCGCTCACTTTCAGGATGCACAGTCAAATTAAATGCATCTCCTCTTTTGCTTATTTGAGGGTACTCATTTGAGTTCTTGCGTTTTCGACCTATCAGTGACCCATAATATTCACCTCGGTTTCTGGAGCCATATGGAGTTCTGGAGCCAACGCGGATTATAGGAATATAATCTTCCTGAGAATAACGACGTTTTGGAACACTGTCTGAGGAAGAGCTGGAACTATTTCTGCAGATTCTGGACAGAGCTCTCCTCATGCTTCTGGCTACTCTGCTGAACAATGATCCTTCTCTTTCAGCTCTGTTTTCTGGAGCTGATGACATTTTGCTTTATTCACAAGAGTCTCTCTCAGAGTTGGTGCAGCTGTATGATCAACCTTCCTCCTGTGTCTTCTTTCCAGATTTGATTCAGTTTTTTAGCCCCAACTGAACCTCACATATATTTTTGATGCCTCTTAAACATATGTTATAATCCTCCTTTATTTTGCACATGTGTTTGTCCGGCTCTGTATCCTGAAATTCAATTACAAAAGTTAAATTATTTAACAGAAATATAATCTATACAGACCTTTTAACCCCAAATAATAACATAGTTTACCATTATATAGTATTTTGCTCAAATTTAAAATCAGATCAAACGTTTAAAATACTGGCTGTGTAAGTTGTGATTTAAAGTTTGAAATGAAGTTGGTTTCATAAACCAGGAAGACTGACTTCTCTTCTCATAACAGGATGTCGCAAGTGTTTCTTTCAACCTTTACTTTTCAGCACATCATTTATTCACCTTCTCCAATAACAATACACAAAAGACTGTAAAAAAAAACATACATCAGATCAATTATGTAAAGTCCAATTGAAACAATAAAAACTATAACAGCACTTTGAATTGCCTTGTGTTGAAAAGTGCTATATAAATAAACTTGCCTTGCCTTGAGTCAGTTCAAGACAAAAAGATGAGGAAGCTTGAAAACGTATTACACAATGTTACTTTCCAAAAAAAGGAACTAACGCCTAGCCTGATGGGGTTCAAAATCAACCAGTAAGAAAACGATAATAAAAATAAGAATATATATTAAATAAAGTATTCCTGTACAAACAAGTCATGTATTCAAAATGTTACTCTGAATATGCAAAGATTTGAAGAAATACCCGAGTAAACTCCAAGTACCATAAGAATGTAAGTAGAGTTCTTAATGTACTGAGTTACTTCCACCAATATTAAACAGTATCATTTCATAAAAGATTATAAACAATATATATTAACACAACACAGGGTTTTCCTGCCCACCGAGCCTTACCTTAAGTATGTGAATAATAGTCCCTAGATAAATGCACTTCAAATAATCTTTTCTCCCAAATACATGTCTAATAATAAGTTTGAGGTATTTATGCTGTTAAATATGATGATCAGTTTATCTCAGACTTACCAGCGTGATGCAAACGAAGAAACCTATAAACTATAAAGAAATCAAATGTCAGTTGTTGGGTGAGTCAGTTCCTTTTTTGGGGGTTTATATTTTATCGAAGTTAGTTATTTTCCTATTTTGATCCTATAAAAGACAAACAAACAGAAAGCGGCAGCCTAATGCTGTAGGTTTTGTATATAGGGCATTTCCGTCCATGTTACACGAGTTATCTTAGAGTGCAATTCATTTGCGGCGGTTTCAAAGGTCATAGGATGTGAAACAAGGAGAACTGTTCATAAATCTAAATCAAACAGATGTATCATTGTGAAAGTCATTATTAAATAAATCAATATCTATGATAAAACTTCTTTTTTTTTTAATCAAAAGCATGATTTGTTTGTAGCATTTTGTAAACAAAAGCCAATAAGCTATTTAAACACAACACATAGACCTCTGAATTGGATATTACACATGCACAATTAACATCACACCAAGTTCTACGCAAGTTGATATGTTTAAATGATTATTTTCATTGTATTTTATTGCACATTTATGTGTTAACTTATGTTTCTATTTTATTTGATATTTTATTTTTTACGTTTGTTTACGACTCAGTTCGAGTTCAACCACCAGAGGCAGAGTTTTACTGTGACGACTATGACAACTACCACCCATCATTCCAGGTGACTCTGGAAACAAGGATGAAACATATTGAGCTGTTCTTGAGAAACATGGTTGATTCACACTATGTCTGGGAAAGACGAGTGTGTCTCTCCTCCTCTGGAGTGAAAAGGTCCTGTGAGCAGAGCTCTTTGAATCTCTGTCCTCATGAGAGGCTGCTGGACAGACGGAGTGGCTTCATTGAAAAGGTATCAAAACCTGTTATAGAAAGTCTGCTGGACAAACTGTTTGAGAAAAAGGCACTGACTGATTCTGAGAGGGAGACAGCTGAAGAGAAGCAAAACAGAAGAGACAAAGCTCGTTTTCTCATCGACACAGTGAGGAAAAAAGGTGCAGCTGCTAGTTTAGAGATGATCGAGTTTCTCTGTGGGGCTGACCCTTTCCTCTGT